CGTAGTTTATCTATTTTGTTATTTAGTTTTTTTCGACATGGGGGCTTCATGTTTCTCTTTTCTGTGTTCTTCTTATTTTTGTTACAGTAGCAGATTCAACATCTCATATACAGTTATGGCTCCAGCGTATACAGCCGTGTTGGTATCGTCTAAAGATAATGATGATTTGATCAACGAATTCAATGCAGTATTAACAGCAGTAGTGTACTTCTGGTATACCGGAGTCTGGGTAGTATTGGTCGAAGATGCACAGGTATGCCCTGATAGAGTACGATATTCATTTGGACATGGTCTAGGATCTTATTTTTCTCTTCATTTGGTAGTGTTTCAATTATTTTGTCTCGGGTAAGCCTTCTTGTCAATTTTCTTGGAGGTGTACTTGTTAAGTTAAGACTCTCCTTTTCTACGTCCATATCCCTTTGCAGCAGCGTCTGTTCCTTTATTATGTCCAATTCGGCATCCGTAAACTTTTTCGCTCGTATTAGCCACCTAACTCTGTCTGATATCTTCTGCGCTGTTGTTGATCTATCCGGTCTAATACTGTTCCATAAATTTATCAGTCTCTCTGTCTGTAGGTTCTGATACATTGGAGGTGTCATCGTTTTCCTTTAATGAATAATGAAGTGTAGTGTGCGCGCATAATATCAATATTATCTTTGTTACTCCAGCGCTCACGTCTCCTCTACGTTTCTGGATTACCAGTGGGGTTGACATTGCGTTCGCCCAAACTGTTCTCCGGTTCCCTAATCATTTCCGGGTTCGCAAGCCACGACCTTACGGATCCATTTCCAGGGGAGGTGCCGCTTGCCCCACTCATCCTCCTTTCGGGCTGACTTGATCGGCTCCGACGGGGGCTAGCCCGTTGCCCCTCACCGACCTGGCTATCATTATACTTTTAATTCATTTTCACCAATTTTAAATGGGTATCCCTGCTGCGTCAGGGTTTTGCAAGTATACTGCTGACCACAGTATACTCACTCAGTAAAGTTAAGGAAAACATAGGAAATGAGAGAGAAAAAGATTTAACAGGTGAGACAAGTAAAACATCCCGTTTTTTTAATTGTTGGCTCATTTAATTTGTGTTGACAAAGAAAATTTGCGGCCCTGAATACTAATTACGAGCAACCCATTAACAAATTTCGGGATATCGTCTGCTGTTTATAAGAGGTGTTAAGGCAGATAAAATTTGGAATCACGGATGCTATTTACTAGACGGATTTTCGATATCCTATGCTGTTTACGCGGTATCGTTCGACCTAGAACCGAATCGCGATCATGGACGTCGTTTACAAATATGCGACCGGGACTGGTTTCAATGAAGGGAGAAAACATCCCTAAAGAGGCGATTATCACCAGTCTTTCTGCTGAGGAGCAAGGAGGAAAACCTGCTGAGCCTTATCCAGGCTCAGAACTCCGGCCAATGTAAGGACATCATCTAGAGAGTATTATAGATTCGGGACAACACCGGTATCAAGTCTAAGGAGAGACCAAGTTAAAGAGGTGGAGAAAATGGAGACAGTTCCTCCACCCTACACCACACTGTGAAGAGTACAACACTGACTGCGAAGGGCACGGAGGGCTAAACCCCAACCGTGGAAGGGTTGGTTATATTATACCCTCGTAGGACGCAGATCCCACTCCTCGGATGATGAACATCTGTTGTCAGAGGAGAATGGGAAATGCCATGTCCCCCTACAACAGGAAGATCCCCATGTATGATGAGTTATTGGCAGTATGATAAGCTATAACTCAATAAAGGGGGACACAACAATACATCTTTAAACCACAGGAAACCTCACTGGAAAAAGCATAAATTTAAAGAAGTCATTTTAATACCATCTTTCATAATAACATCTTTTTGAATCATACATCTGACCGAAATGTTGTGTAAGTAAAATAAGTAAAGACAAAGGAAGTCCAAAATTATTTTAATTTTAATTATACTGTTGGGGACCCGTGTGAACTCGGCCTTAGGCCTGGCCACTCGGCTATGACTCATACGCCCCGGCAGCATTTAAACATTCCACTAAAGGATTGGGCACCCGTCTCTATTCTGATTGGCTAATTTGAATTCTATTTTAGTACGGTGCCGAATCACATAGCGGTATGTTTAAACAGTGCTGAAATCATGAGTGGAATGTTACATTTATTTTTACGGCATGAGGTGCCCAATTACATAGTGGAATGACTGAGCGGTGCCGAAAAGCGAAGCGGAATGTTATGGCTAAACTATTTAAGCACTGTTTTCGAAGTGAATTGTTTTTATATTTCAAATCAAAGATAGGTATTATATCAAAATTTGAAAATATTTAATAATTTTCTTTCACGCACTTTGTCGCGAGTTGTATTTATGTTATCTTTAGATAAATATATTCAACTTGAAACCTTCGGTTAATATAGGACTAACAAAAACCGCGTCCGCAACGATCAATAAAAATAAAACGGGCAGCTACTAAATCTTCTCGCCAAACGGAATACAAACTGCGGACGCCAGTGTTCGCGTAAAATTCTGACTATATCCAAAGATCTAAAGCCTCTAAAGGAGGCAGATACTAGTGAGAATGGCGGTTTTTTGGGATCGCTTAAAGCATAAACTGTTCTTATTAGCTTGCACCGCAGTTTAAGGTTTCATTAAGAGAACAGCATCCCTTAACTTAACCCTTGGCTTTTTTTAGGCGTGACAAAAAGTCACTATTAAACTATATGAGAAAAATCGCTCATACACGTGAACTGAGAAATAGATTGAAGTTTTTAAATATACCATATTTTCTTGGATAATTGCTGAAGGATCAATTTTTTATAAAATTTTATTAGGTGCTCATCTACCTTTGGCCAATACTGTATGCTGCTACTACAAGGACCTCTTAAAAAGTGTTATAAATTTTATTTGCTCCATTTGAAAAAAACAGGAAGGGTGGTAGTAAACAGGAATATACTATAAAACAAAGATTTAATTTTTTTAGGCACGATATCCCACGGTTATCTAAATAAAGAATGTATTTTATAACAGTTTTGCAATTAGATTTCGTAACTGTGGCAAAATATCAATTATATATTTTGACACTACGGCAGATGACGAAAAAAATATTACAAAATAAGTGGTATATTTTCCTATTTTGCATGATATCTTTGATTTAAAACATAAAAACAATAAACTTTGAAAAACAAAAACAAAAACAATAACACAGCTTAAATAGTTTGGTCATAACATTTCGCTCTGCTTTTCGGCACCTCTCAGCCATTCCACTATGTAATTGGGCACCTCATGCCGTAAAAATATATATAACATTCCACTCATGATTTCAGCACTGTTTAAACATACCGCTATGTGATTTGGCACCGTACTAAGATAGAATTCAAATTAGCCAATCAGAATAGAGACGGGTGCCCAATCCTATAGTGGAATGTTTAAATGCCGCCCGGCAACGTTCGAAAACGAATAGAAGGTGGTGAGTGGTGAGACGAAGAACAAGGCTAGGAATTTTCGAGACAAATCTGGATTGTCTGTTTCTCTCATATACAGGGTGTTTCAAAACAAATGCGAAAAATTTCAGGGGGTGATTCCTTGTTCAAAATAAAGGGTAGTTTGCTTCATAAACGTTGGGTCAAAAGTCAACCATTAGGGAGATATTGCGGTACAAAGATGGCGGAAAAATAATGTTTTTATTTTTTATCTTGAAAACGAAAATAGATAGACTAATAAAATTTTATGGAAGTATTACTGTTATGAAAACACACTTTCTGGTAATTTTTTCACTTTTTTAAAATGAGTGGAAGGGGTTGAAATAAACTACCCCTATCATTCTTGTTAACGAAATTTAAAGAAAAATGTTATCAAACACATGCAAAAAAATTAATTTGAATAGTTTAGTTTGTTTAAAAACTTTTTATCTCTTGTATTTTTTTTGATAAAATTCACCGATTTGAAATTAAAAAATAAAATGTAAAGCATTACATGTGAGGACAAAAAACATTTTCTGATAAAGAATCTAGTGGGCTGCTGTATTTTTTTTAGGAAAAAATCTAGTCGGCCGCTGTTACTTTTTAGGATGTTCCTAATATTATTTTATTTGACATTATTCTACTGCAATACGTTATTATCTAGATGATTATTATTATCGTTATTATCACTAGATTCTTAATCTAAAAATGTTTTTTGTCCTGACATGTAATGCGTTACATTTTATTTTTTAATTGCCAGTCGGTGAGTTTTATCAAAAAAACACAAGAGGTATAAAAGTTTCTAAACAAACTAAACTATCCAAATTAAAGCATTTGCATGTGTTTGATAAGATTTTTCTTTAAATTTCGTTAACAAGAATGATAGGGGTAGTTTATTTCAACCCCTTCCACTCATTTTAAAAAAGTAAAAAAATTACCTGAAAGTGTGTTTTCATAACAGTAATACTTCCATAAAATTTTATTAGTCTATCTCTTTTCGTTTTCAAGATAAAAAATAAAAACATTATTTTTCCGCCATCTTTGTACCGCGATATCTCCCTAATGGTTGACTTTTGACCCAACGTTTATGAAGCAAACTACCCTTTATTTTGAACAAGGAATCACCCCCTAAAGTTTTTCGCATTTGTTTTGAAACACCCTGTATAAGCCGACGCCCGAAGCCTGAAGAGGATAGAGAAAAACAACCGGTCGACGCGTACAGTTACAATCGCCGCGCTAAATTCAAAATAAATTCCGTTTAGATAAATAGTTAGATAAATTGTAAATAAGTTATAAATAGTTCTTTAAGTCTGTTAATAGTTATTGTTTGTTACTTAGTGTAAATAAATTGTGTTTAAATAAATTGTGACTTTCTATCCACACGGAACCGACGAAAAACGTAACAATGCACATATTATTATCGTCTTGATTAATTGCCAAAGATTTGGTTTTAGTACAATTATACTGTATTTGACAAGATGTATGTGGATAGGCTTCCTTAGAAATAACTATAAACTCAATTTTAAAATGTGTACGGTGTACAAAAACAAATATTTTAGATATTACAATTTTATTATCATTAATGGCAGTATTTATAGTAACAAATATCTCGTTTAATATCATCTGCAGATTTAAATCTAGAAAGCAAAAATACATGACTATATAAAAAATGATTGCACATCAATATAACAATTTTAGTTTATAAAATACTGAGCACAGTATAAGATATTGTTTCTTCATTTATGTTACATATTCAATGTATCATTAAACACTGTTCGAGGTTACGTTTATTTACAGTCTTGTCCACACATGCACACATATTTAATTCTCTCGTGGAATCCTTTTATATACATATAGCTTTTTACACCTTATATTTTTATAATATACAAAAGAAAGAAATGACCTGCATTATATTTTGTAGGAGCTGTCATAAAAAATAAATTTTTATTTTGAAACTTACAAAAAATATCCAGGGGTTACATCACATTTTAAATAATGACGATTAACATTAAGATACTTAACTTATATTTCGATATCTTTTATTTTCAAAACCATATCTAAATCCGAACTTATAGTGTAAACATCTCCAATTCTTCTCTTTGTATTATTTCTTACGATTCAATAAATAAATACATAGGTAATGGAAAATGTATTACATATTTTTTTTCATTCAAGTATGTAGTTAAAGCTTTTGAGATCATTTATATTTTTAATTTGGGCTTTTAGATATTTCATATTGCAAACCATCGATTAGAGAGGAAAATCAGTAATAACTTTAAGCTACAAACAAAATTAAAGTACAAATACATTTCGCGAACTTAATAGTAATAATAAATAAAACTCTTATTCTTGAGAAGGAGTTGCAATAAATGTCAATCAAAATCACTAGATAAAATTAGTCTCTAACTTTGTTTAGGTTCTTTATCTATTCTCATATCATCAATTTTCGCAACAATTTTCAGGGCCGGACCTAATTTCATAGCCATGGCTGTCATAAGGTGGTCTTCCTTAAGCAACATTAATGCTTGTCCGTCGATTTCCTGAATAAGAAAGTCTTCTGCGTAATCTGAACAACCGGGTAGATTTTTGATAAATTCAAAAACTTCTTGAACCTGCAAAAACAAATAATAAATAATAACAATTTTAAATATAAAAGTCTATTTATAAGATAGTTTAAACTCATATAAGAAAATAAAAAAATAATACTTACACTCCATTTTATAGGGTCTATTTTAGGACTATCATCTTCAGTCGCTGGATTACTACTCTCAGCTTTTGTTTCGCCGATTTCCATGCCTTCTTTGTCCCATTTTTTGTTGTCATCTTTAGATTTATTACTGAAACGAATCATTGGGGTTAAATTAACAATTTAATCATCAAACAAATTTATGACTTTAAGAAGTTGAAAAATATTTTTTTTTTCGATAGGCGTAAAAACAATGTTAATACAGGGTCCGGCATTAGTGCGTCGTCGGGCATCTGTAGCTCCTATAATAAAAGTTAGACATTTTGTTTAAGTGCAAACCTAAAGTATGTATTTCAGGAAAATATTTTAACTTCTACAGGGTGACAACAACAACAACAACCACAAACAACGCTTTATTGTACAAAAAGCTAAAACAGCTTCATCGACAAATCACTCACAAAACAACAAAATCACAAAAAAAGTATAAACAACAAAAAATACACAATACAAATAATACAATTCAAAAAAATTTAAGTCTTTAAAAATACAAAAAGAATATACATGGACAATTTTAGAACAGTACGCAGTAAATAGATATAATTTTAGAGTTATAAAATATTAAATACTTGACCTTTGACCATTGTGAGATGATCAAAATTTTAAAATTCAAAATTGTTCCTAATTAAACATCAACAAAAAAGTCGTTTACCGCATATACGCCTCTCTCCAGTAAATATGATTTTAGAGCTTTGCGAAATGCGGGAAAGAATGAAAGCGACTTGATATTCAAAGGCAGATGATTGTACATTTTTTTCGGCATTGTACAGTATTGAACCTTTAACTAGTTCTGAGCTCGGGGTTGGCAGATAAAGATCGTGCTCTGCATTCCTAAGTGGATAGTTATGAGATGGCCTTTCGGGAATAGCAGATATGTGCTTGCGGATTAAGCAAACAGATTCAAAAATGAATAAAAAAGGAATAGTATTTTCAAATTTTTAAAGAAATTTTGGCAGTGAGTTCTACTGTTCAGTCCCAATAAATATCGAACTGCTCTCTTTTGAAGTCTGAAAACAAGATCAAATTTTGTTGCGCAGCAAGTACCCCAGAATGGAAGGGCATAACGAAGATGTGACTCAAAAAGGGCATAATAGGCTATTCTAGAGGTTAAGAAGTTAAGTTCCTTAGAAACTGATCTTAGCGCAAAATAGGCAGCGCGTAGTTTCTTTGATAGAGCTTCGATGTGAAAGTCCCATTTTAACGAGTTGTCTACAACAAGTCCTAAGAATTTCATAGAGTCCACGACATCAATAGTGGTGTTATTAAGTACAAAAAGTTGTATAGTACTTTTATATGACAAAACTTTAGTTTTTGATAGGTTGAGGTATAGGAGATTAGAATCGCACCAAGACTTAATGGTGTGTAATCATACAGTGCTGCAACATCTGGGCCGCTCCAAGTGAAACTAGTATCGTCAGCAAAGAGGCAGATTTTACCGCTAATATCTAGATTTGCAATGTCGTTGATAAACACCAGAAACAAAATAGGGTCAAGTACTGAACCCTGAGGGACACCACATTCTATAGGCTTACAAGAAGACATAGACGTATCAATCCTCACAAACTGCCTTCTGTTGCCAAGATATACCTTAAGCCATTCGAACGGCACTCCCCTGAAACCATAGTATTGCAATTTGTTAATTAAGATATTATGATTTACACAATCGAAAGCCTTAGAGAAATCACAAAAATTTGACTCAAAAAAGTGTGAGTGGATCAGGATGATTTTTTTAAACGGATCACTCGATCCACTTACTTTTTTGAGCCACCGTGTAGAAGTTAAAATATTTTCCTGAAATACATACTTTAGGTTTGCACTTAAACAAAATGTCTAACTTTTTTATTATAGGAACTACAGATGCCCAACGCATTATTGCCGGACCCTGTATATTGTACAAAAAAACGCCTTTACGTTACGTTATAATGTATTTAAATTAAATTTACCTTTTGGAACATAAAATTGAGCAGAATCTTTTTCGTTTAAATTTGGACTTGTGATCAAGGACTCCACATGTTTCACATTTAGCCAAATCGCCTTTCGAAGCAAATGAATTTGGTGATAAAGCTTGCTTTTTTCCTAAAAAATTAATGTATTTATTAAAGTAAGCATTCAGCGACCCAATGTGAGTAGATAATAATTAGTTAAAATCCTCTACTGAGGGACAGGAGACTCAAACTCACTTTTTATACAAGACTGTGAGTTTGAGTCTCCTGTCAATCAGTAGAGGATTTTAATTAATTTATTAAAGTAATCTCAAAATAAATTATTTTTTTTTGTTTCGTTTCTTTGACCTGTGTACTATATATTTTTTCTTTTTATTCTTGGCTTTAGGTCGTTGGGGTTGCAAAGATGTTACTAAATTTTGTTCATTATTTTATTTTATGACGACGTTTCGAAAGTATACCGTGCTGGCAACTGTAACTTTTGGATCAGCATTTACGTGTGTGGAAGTAAATCGCATAGGGATCTTATTAAGTCGGAGTGAGAGAAATGCGACCGACCGACGCGACGCGCGACGGTGTCCTGTTGCGGCGTTGCCGATACGCCTCTCCCTATCAAGTAAAGTAAAACCACGATCGCAAACCGCTTATTTTTAAAAGACTTTTTTTTCAAGAGATAACTAGATAAAATTATTAGACATGTTTCTGAGCATCTGAAATGGAATTATAAGGATATCGTTAGGCTGTCATTTTTTTTAGAACGAGAAAACGTCAGTAATCGCGATAATTTAAAACTCAACTTTTTAACACATAACAGACCATAACTCAAGAACCACTTTAGATATTGAAACTTTTATTTATTTTCAACATCGGATATTTTACAATATGTTTACATAAGAAAAATTCGATAAGGTTGTTTTTTTCATTCAAAAATTGTAAACAATCCATCCATTTACTTTTAGAGCATAGCAATTTTCAGCAATCGTGTAATTTTTTTATTGATAAAGATTTTCACATACTGTCTACAAAGAAAATACAGCAGAAATATTAACAAATTTCTTGAAAAAACTACAATCTATTATTTCTAATAGATTTCGAGATATCGATTTTTGAATTTAGAGTTCTAATAGCGCGACCACTATCGAACACTCACTCAATTCCACTTATTTTGACCAAAAATGCAAGTGTTTCTAGCTTGCACTTAAAAAAAATTAAGCTATAGGGAAAATTACAACGACTCGTTAATAAATATACAAATCAAGTATCACGAGACGTAATTAAATTGTGAAGCTGAACGCATGACGTACACCTTTCCCTAGAACTTTAAGTACTGACAGAGGTATTGACTGGGTCGACCGGTCAACTGCGACAAATCTGCTATATCCCCTTCCACGTCCCTTAGCGATGTGCACAGTTTCTTTTCTTTCTTTCTTTCATACGTTTGGCAATAGTGATGGGCAAAACTGTTATTTTTAGATAACAGTTGAAACTGTTATAGTTATTTATAAAAAACAGCTTAAAATAACAGCTTAAAAATAACAGGTTTCTTTATTTTACTGCTAAATATCTGAAAGATTATGAGGCGGTCACCGCCAGGCGTATTAACGCAGTTGCAAGTTGCAACAATGACGTGCTCGGTGGTAGTATTTCAAGGGTGTCAAAACATTTCTAAATATCGATTGTTATCTAAAATACCTCTCTAAAAACGGTGGTTGTTTACAAATAAGCGCTGTTTACAAATTGCGATATAAAAAAGCCAAAATTCCGCCACTCGTCTATACCTATACATTCCGATCTACCTACGCCCTGCCCCTCGATCCGCGTAGATCTTGAATTGCGTAGCAGTGTACAGGGTGCATCTCACTCGACAGGCGAGAAGCTCTTAGTTATGATTTTACCATTTGCGGTCAAAAAATAGCAATATAAGAAAATGTGTAGTATATTCTTCATAAGTAAACCAACTACACACTAGAGTTCGAATTAATTTTACACTTAAACTAGCGTGTACCCGCGACTTCGTTCGCGTCGAATTAATAATTTTAATGGTGATGATAAAGCAAAACAAGAATTTCCATTAACATACAAACTGGATAAAATTTTCTCACATTTGCCAAAAATAAGCTTTAAACGTCAAGCAGTTTAAGCAGAATCGTGGTTAATCAATTACTCAACGTTTTGGAACACCCTGTATGATTTTTTAAAAAATTTCAAAGTATGTAAAAAAACAAAATAAATTATGCGTGTCCAGGCGTTTTCCCGAAAGACTAATCGTTTTTAAATAACAAATATTGTAATATTTGAGGGGCGTTTTCACCCTGTTGGAATTTGAGATTCGAGAAACCCCTCCTTATCGAACCTCAAACCCACAGTCAATCCGTTTGCCAAAAATCAGCTTTAAACGTCAAGCAGTTTAAGCAGAATAGTGATTACTCAATGGTCATATTTTATGAAACACCCTGTATATATTTTTAAAAAATCTTAAAATATGTAAAACAACATAATAAAATTTACGTGTTTAAGAGTTTTTCGAAAAACTCACCGGTTTTTAAATAACAAAATATTCTAATATTTGGGGGTAGTTTCACCCCTTAAATTCTAGTTTCGAAAAAATTCCTTCTTATCGAACCTCTACACGCTAAAGTCAATCCGTTTTCCAAAAATCAGCTTTTTACGTCAAGGGCTTTAAGCAGGATCGTGTTTAATCAATGACCAGATTTTTCATAACACCCTGTATACATTTTTAAAAAATCTTAAAATATTATTCTGAAAATTTTTCAGAATAAATAAATACCTAAATATTGAAACTTAATAATTAAGTACTGAAACATACAGCGCCATAATATCTCGACCTCCGCCCGTTATGCTCGTAACAGGTTGAAAAACAATGTATCTAAAACAACTGATGCGCTATTCTCCAACCTGTTTCGAACCTCCATCGACAATCGACCGATGCAGCAGCGTTACTTTCCCACTCCTGTTATCTTGACCGCCAGGCGTTATGCCCGCAACTGTTTCAAAAAACCTGCTTCTTTTATATCCTATTATTTTTAAGCGGTATCGACCGAAGCAGCAACGGTCGCCGTAGCGCATTCCCCACTCCGTTGTCCGTTGTCTCGCCGCCTGTATCGATGGTTGACGAAATAACAGGTTTTAAATCCATACTAGTTGTTTTTTGGAATTGCTTCGAGCAGCATAGAATTTCGTGGCGGTGCAGAGCGCTGACTTCGTTTTTCGTTTCACGAGCGGCCGATCTCTACGTGTCGTTATTATATATCTGTTATTTTTTAGAAGTAGTAACGGTTGCGTTATGTTATTTATAAATAATTGTTATAAAATAACAGATAGTTAAATAACAACCCATCACTATTTGGCAACGTGTTTACTGTCCTCTCTTTGTTCAGTACATTATAAACGCATTGTACTCTTCTTACATACGGAAATCTCGACCCAAGACTAACCTTTGCCAGCCCTTAGTGTCTTTTTCAAGCCTCTTGAACGTAGATTCCTACAGAGTTAAAAATTGTTAAAAGTGGACAAAACACAATAACACATATTAAACTATTATTTTAATTGTTTTTGGACATCACACTTTAGTATAGAACAGGTATGTATTTTCTAGCAGACAGTTCTGTATAAAACATATTATCATTTCACATTTATCATTTCAGTAGACATCGGGTATTGAAATGATAAATATGTTTTATAGAGAACGGTCTGCTAGAAAATACATACGTGCTCTGTACTAAAGTGTGATGTCCAAAAACAATTAAAATAATAGTTTAATATGTGTTATTGTGTTTTGTCCAGTTTTAACAATCTTTAACTCTGTAGGAATCTACGTTCAAGAGGCTTGAAAAAAACGTATACTGTCGAAATGTCGTCATAAAATAAAATAATGAACAAAATCTAGTCTAAATCTTTGCAACCCCAACGACCTAAAGCCAAGAATAAAAAGAAAAAAAAATAATTTTGAATAATTATTTTATATTTATACAGGGTGGTGCACCGCATTCGCCTCGGTTGATTATACGAAAACGGAAAGATGTAGAAACAAAATATTTTATGAGTATATGTGGGAAGGCAATGTGCATAATTTAAAATTATTTTAAAATGTCAGGGTGTGTCAGAACTAAGATTCATACCAAAGTTATATTTTTTCTTATGGAATACCCGGTATTTTATTTCATTTTTGGATTCTTGGACATAAAATAAGACATTTATTATAAGGGTTTAATATGTCTAAAAGCTTTGGTTTTTGATATATTTAAAGATATTTAATATGCATGCTATAATAAAAAAGTTTGTCAACACCTTGTACATTACTTTTCAGAATTAATTTTTGTGCTGACTTTCAAGCCAGAGAAATAAACTTTACAAAAAAAATTGATTGCTTCCTTAAATGTATACAGGGGTACCAAAAATTGCTGGTTTATTTTAAATATTTATTTTACACATTCTACAACCTAACCTAACCTAACACCCTCTATTTTTTAAAATAAATGAAAGCAGATTTAAATGCTGTTTCAAACTATATTCGGGTTTCCTATACCTATCTAGCTTAGATTTTGAATAAAAAGCAATTTTTCAACAAAATTAATGAAGATGGCTGTTGTCGCCATGGCAATTTTCTAGTGACACTTAGTACCTATTTTCAAAATCGACTTTAGTTTATGGACTTTATTTACATTTATAACAGATTATTTTTATTTAGTTTACCTACAATAACCCAAGTAGCAAAATTACGTTGTTCAACGTAATCACAACGTCGCCAGGAGCAACCCGACGTTGCCGGACAACGTCGAACAACGCATATTTGCACCAAAATGGTGGATGTTTTTAGGGTCGCTACAACGTCGCCAACGTTGGCGACGTTGTTTGAGGCGACGTAGTACGTCGTGTGCTAAAAGTTGTTTTTCATGCCGATTCGCGATATTTTGAGGTTAGAGTTAAAAATATTCGTCGTCAAATATTACTATATTCAACCATTGGGAAACCAAAACATTGATTTCGATTAACTTGGTGATGGCTGATGATGTATGAATTAGAAATGGAATATATTATGCTCTATTAAGAAATATCTAGGTGAATTTAACTTCGACAAATCTGCAAAGTTTTGAGCTCGAAATTCATCAACGAAGATTAGTTTACTGTTGAAAGTGACCATGATACATCGAAATATGGCAAAACCCCTTTTATATTTCCTAGTTTTAATTTTACAATTATAGTTTACTTGGTTAACCTAACTTCTTTTTTTTTCATTATGAGACAAATATACGAAATCTATCAGGAAAATTAGCTTACAACCCTAACAGATATTGTTTTTTAACGAAATTCGTAGTATTTTGTGGTTTCTGATATTTTATTCGATTCGTTCACAACGCACGAACAGATAAATCGTATTAAAATGGCGGAGTTGCCTAAGGCAACCTTTAAAATACCAATATAGTGCATAAGGTGCGGTAACCGACCTTTGGGTCACCTATGACAACCTTTGGTTCAAAAATTGACACCTGCTTTGACGAAATAGGACCTCTGAACCCTACCGACATCTAGGAGGTAAATAAGAAAATTTCTTCTTACAGTGCTCTTTTTTACCTAGGAACAATAAAATAAAGAAGAAAGCTGGGATTCTTTGGTGGTGGTGGTCACATACTCACTCGTTATTAATTAAATTATTACACATACTCGTTATTAAGATCGCTGACATTAGATCAGTATTTCTATTTATTTATTGTTAAAAAAGCCTTATAGGAAGTATTGTTGATTTTACCACTCATTTGAAAATTAAAATCTAATATTCTCTTCAATTTATGCTGAAACTGAACTTCAGTTGACTGCTCTTCTGGAGGATCATTACTCTCACAGTATTCCTCTGTTCTATGGGCTTCAGATGTACTGTTATTTATTTCTATAGTATCCATTCATAATAAGCTACCACTAGTAGCACTATTACTTTTCAAAATTGAAGTGGACGTTCCTAGTGGATACATGATTGCGAGGATATGGATGACGAACCTGAACTCGTTATTTCCACTTCATTTTTCGGACACTGACTTTTCACACACAGATACTTTTTCCTTTTTCTATAAAATTTGTAGAGTATTTATATACTTTTTTCCTATACATCTTCTTTTCGCTTTACACAGTAAGTACAACAGAAAAATACCTATCCAATTGCTCTGTGACAGTACAGTACAGAATTTTTTGAGGTTAGGTGTAGATAGTTCCGCTTCCACAACAAAAATCGACATCGTCGCGCTCGTCGCCTTAATCCAACGTAGTGATTGGTTATAATTTTGAAGTTGCTTTGGGTCGTTTAATGAAACGTCGCACAACGTTGTACTGCGTTTGTTATTCTGTAGTCCAATAAACATGCCTTCTGGCGACGTAATGATAAAAATAATAATGGGTATAAAACCCAACTTCTAACAACGTTGTGGCCTACAACGTTTGCCAACGTTGTTAAGGGTCAAAATATACAACTGTTTAAGTTCAACGACGTTTTGGTTACGTAATTTGAGGTTTGGGTATGCATAGGGTAGGGAAAAGTACCAATTTCAACGTTGCGCGTAGTCAAAACTATTCGGAAGTCGGAATTTTGTTACTTGGGAAGCTTAATAAGTAATTATTTATTATTTCAATCGAGAAAAATGAAGGAGTATCTGCTGGCGAAGGAATGGATATGATACTAGTGATTTTGTGAGGACAATTGCTTGTTGGCCCAAAATGCTCAAAGATATCCAAATAGGAATTTTCTTGACAAGCGTTCCTTTGAAAAACTATTTTTCCTATTTCGCAGAGCTAATAGTGTGGTATATGAAAAACCTATTAGGCAGAAACCTGTCGTTGGAAGTGAAGAAAATGAATTTGCCTTAATTGGTTCTTTTATAAAAATCCAATATGTAATTATTTTTATTTACCATTAATTATAAGTCATCGTAATATAAATCAAAGAACTTTCTTGATAAAATAATAAATACTTGCTTATTAAACTATGGTTGGTAAATTAAATAAGTAAAAGTAAACTGTTATAAATTTAAATAAAGTCAATAAAGTAATGTCGATTTTGAAAATAGCTACTAACTGTCACTAGCAAATTGCCATGGCGACACCAGTCATCTTCATTGCCATTTTATTGAAAAATCGCTTTTTATTCAGAATCTGAGCCAGATAGGTATAGGAAACCCTAATATAGTTTGAAAGAGCAATTAAATCTGCTTCAACTTATTTAAAAAAATACATAGTGTTGCGTTTAAAATAACGAAGTTTTTATGTAAAATATATATTTAAAATAGACCAGAAATTTTTGATACCCCTGTATACATTTAAGGAAGCAATACATTTTTTTAGTAGTGTATTTCTCTGACTTCAAATTTAGCACAAGAATTAACTTTGAAAAGTAATGTACAAGGTGTTGATAGCCTTTTTTGTTATAGCATGCATATTTAAATATCTTTAAATATCTCAAAAACCAAAGCTTTTAGACATATTAAACCCTTATAATAATGCCCAACAATCAAAAAATGAAATAAAATACCGGGTATTCCATAAGAAAAAATATAACTTTGGTGTGGATCTTAGTTCTGATACACCTTGTACATTTGAATATAATTTTAAATTATGCACATTGTCTCTCTACATATCTACATATACCCATAAAAAAATTTCTACATCTTTGCGTTTTCGTATAATCAACCGAGGCGAATGAGGTGCGCAACCCTGTATAGTCTGTCCAATGCGGTGATCCGTGAAAATGACAGTTGTGCTTGTCCTTTCAATTCTCTGGCAAATATTATTTTCTATAATTTTTTTGAGATGCTATCTGTCGAAATCTTCCCTGGCTCGAACAGACTTCAGTAAATAAATCGGTGGTCTGTATTATCATTATTGTAAAGTTAACGTTTAAAGATAATGAGGAAGATGCATATATTTTATTTTTCGCCAGAAACTGTTCAATTTATTAAAATAAATATGTATAAATGCAAAAAAAACTTTTTTCTTGAAAGCAGTACCACAATTTTATAAAACGGGCCATTAAAATACTATGGATAACGCAAACGACGCCTCGCGAATTGAAACGATATTCTATTGGTCTGACGTCACCTGCCGTTCTCGTCGACGCGCGATGGGCAGCAGCATCCAGACGTGTTCCGTTTATGTACGTATTTAGGTGGCGTACTAAGACATTTTTGTTGCTTTTAGCGTTGATTGAAGGAGCTTATTATGCTTTTTCGTGCAGTTATTATTTGTATGTGTTGTGTGTTCTGAGAATTTTTTAAGTAATGGCAGATTCCGGGTTTGTAAAAGCACAATCAGATAACTTGCCAAAAATCGATGCTTTCATGTTGGCTGCTTTTATAAATACAAATTCCCAATTTATTGGTGCTGAATTACGAGGAAAAAAACAGAGAGGTATATAACATTTATTCTTTGTAGTACTGAGGCATATTTAAGTATAAGTAGGTACCTACTGTTACGAACTTTTATATAGTTATAAATTAATGTTATAAACTTATTTTTCAGATCAGGTAGGGAGACGTATGGAGATAATGCTGTAGGTTATGTAGAAGTGAAAAGAGACAAAAATATTTGTTTAGTACGTGGAAAAATAACTCCACTCCTTATATATTGACACCACCTTACCCTTGTTATTTTTAAAGATTGTTTTTTTTTACGAAATTATAGGAAATAAATTGTTTATCAGTAATGAAAATATTATACAAGGTGTCCCATAAGCAAACGCCAAAATTAAGTTACTTTTTTAAGCGAAACACCCTATATATTTTTGGATTCTTCAGAAATTTCTAGATATTCGAGATATATTTCATGTATAATATCCTATACCTATCTTCAAATGTTTACGAAATATTGACAGTTGAAAAGCGAAAAATACCTACAATTTTCTAGACTACCTTTTTTGAGACACCCTGTATAACTAGAATTAATTTTAAAAGAGAGTATATGAAAAACCATGCAACTTTTTTATTTAATGTTTTCTTCTAAAACTTGCAGTTAAGGCTGTATGTGGGTGTCAAAATATAATGAATAACCCTGTGCATTCAAATTTCATATACCTATGTAAGACAATATACATAAATATATGAACTTACATCAAAATGATCTTCACAACAATAAATCGTAAAAATAGAGGATAATTTAACGTTTTTCTTTTCATCTTTTCTCATGGCCTTGGACCATTTTTTTCTGTTTTTGCTCATCCATTACTATTTATAAATATCACTAATTACTCTAATTATGCACAAATAACTAAAATTTTGACTCGGATTCAACAGCGTTTAAAAGCAAACTGTGTAAAATAAACTCGCGTCTGGCTCTACTCAACCAGAAGAACGGCGGGTGACGTCACAGCGGCAAGGCGCGGTAGAGAGCGTTTGCCCGGCCATTTAAATTAACAATATTTAATTATCTTATATTAGAGGCATTTCTTAACCGATATCAACGATTTTTTTCGTTCAATTTGTAATTATATGAACTATTTTTTAAAACCATTATTTAAAAACATGCATTTTCCTCATTAATTAGATATTATTATTATTATTACTCTGTGTGTAGCAACTTTTGTTTCATAAAAAAATAGTACAGTGATATAAAAACCGCATCTTTGTATGTCTATTTTTTATAAACGAGAAACCCCGTAAAAAACACGAAAATGGGACACCCTGTACATTTATTATTAAAATGATTTCTTTATTTTTTTAGTTGGAATCGATTATAGTTTAATCAATTATGATTATTTTTGAAAGATATAATTATTATCAGGTGTTTTAAACTTACTTGGTGGTTCATCTAATTCCTTATCGGTTGGATGTGTTGTAGATTTAAGATCACTAATCATTCCACTTCGAGTAACTGGAAATGGTTCTGAAGATTCTTGTATTACAAAGTCCTCAATAACATGTGTCAGCACCTGTAATGTATCAATGGCAATAATAAACAAAATAAAGGCAATTATTTTTTCATTACCTGGGGTTTTACCATTGCTTTTGGCGGACATCTTTCTTTTACTTCTTCAGCAGTAACAACCATAGGCAGTCCTATTTCTGAAGGGTTTGGTATTTGACTCGGAAGGGTCCCTGGTATAGTGACTGACTGAGAACTATCCGTTATGTTAGCTATGGGTTTCGTATCTTGAGAACCTGTACTAATTTCCTTAATTTCTGATTGGGATGACGACGCTAAATAGAAAAAATATGTATTAATCTTTTTATTCAAAGGTTTATTTAATACAAGGTGGTCCGAACTGTATTCCGAAAACTTCGGCAGCATATTCTGAACATAAAAATAAGTCAAAAAGTTCGTATAAATGTATGTCCGAAAATGCTTAGTTTCGGAGATACAGGGTGTAGAAGTTTCATTTTTATTACGAGATTTTTTCCAAATAATTTCTGAAGTAACATCAATATTTGGACGATTTTTTTTATGAGAAATTTGATTTTGATGTCAATATGACTCCTGCTTGTAGAGGGCGCCACCTACATATTTTTTAACTTGTTTAAAGAGTAATAACTTTTTTTCCGTACCTCTACAAAACTACTGCGTAAAAAAATATACATTTATGGAGTTTTTTACATAAAAAATGTCTCTTAGTAAAAATCTCTACGAGTAATGGTTCTCGAAATATTTAGAATCGAAATTATCAATACCTGTCATCATTGACATAAATTTAAACATGTTGGCTAAATAGTTGTTAGACTGAAATCATAAATTTGAAATGTTTTTGTGCCAAAAGTTCAACAGAAACTGTTTTATCATCATTTTTTCGCAGGAAAATTTATGATTAATTTAAAAAAATAAAAATTTCCCAAATTTATTATTTCAGTCAAATAACTATCTACTCAACGTGTTTATTTTGTGTGAATTATGACATAGTATTGAAGAAGTATTAACTATTTCCATTCTAAATATTTCGAGAACGGTTGCTTGTAGCAATTTTTGCCAAGACACATTTTTTACGTAAAAAGTCACGGAAATGTATATTTTTTCACACAGTAGTTTTATACAGGTACGGACGAAAAGTTTGACGACTCTTCAAAACAGTTAAAACACATATAGGTGGCGCCCCCTAAAACTAGGAGTCATATTGACATTAAAATCAAAATTCTCAAGTCAAAAAACTTCCGGACACCAATTTTCATCCAAATATTGACGTTACTTACTTCGGAAATTATTTGGAAAAAATCGAAATAAAAATGAAAGTTCGACACCCTGTATCTCCAAAACTAAGCACTTTAGGACAAACATTTATACAAACTTTTTTACTTATTTTTATCTGAAGAATATCCTGCCAAAGTTTCCGGAATACAGTTCGGACCACCCTGTAGAAAAACTACTACTACACTTTCTAATGACTAATTTTGTGTTTATCAAAGAAAGATGTGTAGTTATTGTGTATTCATGTATCCTCGTTTTCTAGCGATTTTGAGATATGCAAGGTAGTTGATATATTTTATTCTCGAAAACCGTTCGATGCCAACAACATCAACCCAAAAATGTCAACAACATCAACTATTTCAAATAATAAAGGCATTTTGAAAAAACAATCAAAAGATAAAAAACGCTGATAAGACTATCAAAATGTTAATCTAATAACAATTTGAAGTTTATACTATTACGTCAAAAGCAACTTTTTTCCAAAGCCTACCATGACTTCACTGAATCATGTTTCTTGTTCACTGTTATTAATATCTTAATTATTAGATATTAATACCTCTGGTATTATGGTATTCTGGTATTTCGTCGATTTTAAAATAAACTAATTGTTTCTATCTTATTTTTTTGTTAGAATGGGCATAATTAAGAGGGCTACTGATACCGTGTTGTAGAAATAAGGGAATTAAGGGCTTATTTTTTGGTATTTATTATAATTTTGCTAATATCTTCGGTTTGAAAGAAGATATCAAGATGCGGTTTTCGCCGACTTTTTAAGCTTTTACTATCAGCTAAAATTACATATACTATTTCATTTAATCTTTTTGAAAAAAAATGCGTAATGTTTGTTAAATTGTAAGACAACGCCCCCTAGCGTCTACGTTCAAAAGCTTATTATTATTGTTTATATGGTACAATATAGAGTAAGAAACGCTCTTTTAAACGAGTCCTCGCTTGTTGAATTCCGATCATCCAGTCCAGAGTTATTAATATTTAAATAAAAACAGATTTAATCTTCCCCCACCACTTTTTGGTAGATAGGGGAAAATGGCTTTAACAAAAAATATTCAATATTTACTGAAGTATATGAAGCTATTACTTATAGTACACCTTATCTAGACAAAATTGTGTAAAAACTCCATTTTCATATTTTTTGTTGCAGTTGCGCCCCCTAGCGGTCGTTCTACAAACTTGAAAATAATTTCCAGCAATTTCTCATAGCTCCTTTAGTTATAAATATTTTTTTTCGTAAACCCTACGGCTAATACTTTCCGAGATACAGCCGATAGCTATTCTTAGTGGGACACCCGGTACATACATTTTCTATAAGGTTATGGTTTTAATCATCTGTGGATGATGCTAACAGTGTTTGGTGTAGTAAGGTAAAATTTGTGTAATTTTCAATAACTTTACTAACCGTCTAAAGAAATAGTTTCAGTGTCAGAAATTGTCGTAGGGGTTAAAGCTGCTAATTGCGTTTGTGGTGAAGCGGATGGAATTAGTTCCTGTTGCGCTGTGGTCAACTCATCTTTAATTGTAATGGATGGTACTACAGATGGTAATGAAACCTGAAAAAAATATTTAATTAGAATTTAAAAAACATCCATTTTTATGCTGTTTAAAAACATAGTTTCGTTAGCAATAAATTTTCAATATTTTTTTATTACGGTAAAAATATATTATAGTTAAACATACTAAATTACTGTAAAGTTCAATTCAAGTAATTACAACATATTAGGGTCGGCAAGAGATATGTTTGGGTCGAGATATCCGGATGTAAGAAGAGTACAATGCATTTTTAATGCACTGAACAAAACCAGAATAACACAGAGAAAAGAGAAACACACAGAAAAAAAACGAGAATAACAGTAGAAACGTTGCCCAACGTATGAAATAAACCGAGTAACTGCACATTACTAAGAGACGTGGAAGGGGATAAGGCAACCTTCGTCGCCTTGAAATTGAAATCCAGTACTTAGATTTCTAGGGAAGCAATGCGTTCAGCATCCCGATTTAATTACGTCTCGTTATACTTTATTTATTTATTAACGAATCGTTGTATTTTCCTTATAGCTTGTAAATGTTTAAATACAATTTGGAAATTAAACAACGACTCTAAAATGCTCAAACGTTGCCCAATTTTGATAAAAATAAGTTGAACCGAGTTAGCGCTAGACAGTGGTCACGCTGTTAGAACTCTGAATTCAAAAATCAATATCTCCAAATCCATTAGAAATAATAATTAATTGTAATTTTATTTAAAAAAACTTTCTTAACGTTTCTGCTATATTTTTTTCGGATATAGTATGTGAAAATATTTACAAATAAAAAAGTTACATGATTGCTGAAAATTGCTATGCACTAAAAGTAAATGTAAGCGTTTTTTTTAACTTCTTGAACGAAAAAGAAACAAACCTGTCGAAATGTTCTCATTTAAACATTTTATCAAAGATCCTAACTTCAAAATAAAAAGTTTCAATATCTAAAGTAGTTTTTGAGTTATCGCGTGTTGTGTTGAACATTATAGAAGGTGTCCCAGAAATAAGTGCAACTATTTAAAGGGGCGGTAGATCTCGATAAAAGAAACATATTTTCTCTTTATCGTTTTTCAAATAAGTCCAAAATAACGGAGTTATTTTACTTTGAAAATTTCCAAAAAAATGATTTTTTGCTAAAATTTTGAGAACCACTGGATCTTTTCTGGATTTTCATTCTTGTAAATTTAATCTAAAACCTATGTTACCATATTATCAAAAAATTATGTTATTTAACTAAAAAAAAAATATACTAAAAACTAAAAAAAAAATTCAAAAAATTTCAAATTTTTTCGCGAAAAAAATTTCATAGGCGTGTTTCTGGGGTTGAACTATACTACCAGTTAAAATACTTGCACTTATTTCTGGGACACCTTGTAGGTATGCAAAAAGTGTCTGTACGTCTGGTGGCGGATTCAACTCTTCAAAAAAGTCCTATGGGTATTTCGCTACTTGCACTATAAGAAAATCTACAAAATAAAATAGTTATTTTTTTGCCAGAGGTGTTTGACTAATAAAATAAATTTGCTTAACTGACAGAAAAATGCTTAACGTTTTGGGAAGTATCTCTTACCGTCACGTCGTCGGAAACAAAAAAAAACAAAAAGAACAAAGAAAAAACTATTTAACCCTCAACTGGCGTGGTGAATTTTGGGAAAATGGGGGTCCCCAACTTTTTTTTTCAGTTTAAAATAAATGATGAAGAGATTTAAAAAAAGTTTGTTATTTTAATATTGTTTACAAATATATACTTGTGAATTAGCCTTTTTATTCGTTTTCAATAAATAAATGAGAACGGACACCAAAATAAACTAAAACATTTTAGGAGTTTTTGATAACAGAAATATAATTTGGCTGAGAAACCCTCAGCAATTAAAAACATATTATATATTTTATGATTATTTGGTATTATTGAAAGTCGGGTGGCCGACTAAGAATGGACGCCGGCTGTATCTCAGAAACTACTTATCGTATAACTTCGGGAAAAAAATTCTAACAAGTAAATCGACCAAGAGAAATCGCTGGAAATTATTTTCAAGTTCGAAAAATGTCCGCTAGGTGGCGTTTCTCTGATAGCCAATTAGAAAACAGGGCTTTTCTCAAAAATATGCAGGTGAACAGGTATTTTAAATATTACTATTGTAATCATCGAGAAATTTGTAACTTTTTTGATATAGAGTGTTTTGCTCTAACTTATAAAATAAAGTGGTGGGGGAAGGTTAAACTTGCTTTTATTAAAATAAGGATAACTCTGGTTTAGGTTAACCGATTTAAACAAACTAGGGCTCGTTTAAAAGAGCTTTTCTTTCTTAATAATCTTCAGTATAAATTTTGTTTCCATAATTTTTTTCATGGTAGCTAGAGGGCGCTGTTTGACATCATAACAGATATTGTGCTTTTGCATTAAAAATTTAAATAGGAGGCTATATTTCTCTTTGCACTATTTAAATAGAGCAGAAAATTTCCAAAATATTAGAGCAAACCGCAACTTTCTATCTTGTCTCTAACCGGAGATATTAAGAGAACAAATTATGTTAGGCTGCCGTTTAGGAATATACAGGGTGTCTCAGATTTTAATCGGGAAAATTTAATAGACGATAGAACTTGCAAAAATAAAACAAAAAGTTCATGTCAACTTGTAAGATTTAAAGCTTCCTTTTCGAGATACAGGGTGTTAAAGTTACTTAAAAAAGAAAAAAAAAATAAGATATTTGAAAAACTATTTAATCGATTTTGATATAACTTGACCCGTTTATAATACTTACTATGGGCCTTAATTTGATGTAATTAGATTTAAGTTTAATGGCCAGGGGCGGCAGCGGGGCATCACTGTTAAATTATTTTAAAGGAAAAAATAGGCACGCCACTGCTTTTTTAGAAGTTTAATATTATTTTTGGATTTAGTAATTAAACATATAATTTTTTGCCTCCTGACTTTTTTGTCTATCTTGCTTACTTCTTGCGAAAAAAATTAAATTCTAATTGGTAATTAATATTATAATTGGTATTCTAATGATACCCTGTATCTCGAAAAGGAAACTTTAAATCTTACAAGTTGATATGAACTTTTTGTTTTATTTTTGCAAGTTCTATCGTCTATTAAATTTTCCCGATTAAAATCTGAGACACCCTGTATAGTCTAAAAATTATAGTAGTAGGCTAGGAAACAAAAAGAGATAAATTGGTTACGTCGAAATATCAAAACGTTTAAGTTCAGTTTTAATGCATCCGAATTTCGGGCGGTTTATTAAAAAAGATGACGTCATACATTTTTAAACGTGTTTATGTAACATTATCGTCCATCCACATAATTTTTACGAATTTCTTGGTTAATTATACAGAGGTTTCTCAAATTATAATGTCCGAAAGTCGAACAATCAATAATTTTATTAAAATTTCTAGGAATTTTGTGGCGCCATATTGCTTTTAACAGAAAACGGCCAATATGGCCGAAAACTAGGGGTTTATTTCATGTAACGTCATTTAGCTATTAATCCAAGTTCGTCCTTGATTTCACTTGTTTTCGTGTTTCATCTGTTGTTTGTGTTAGTTATTATAATATTATAAAATTTATGTCGTTTGGGTCACTTTTCATATAGCCCTAAAGATGCGAATGTTAACAATATGCACTACTGGTCCAAATCTACCCTGGATGCAAGTAGTTCAGCACCAAGACCGTTGGTCGATACATGTTTAGGCAGGAATTCTACGATGGCGAATGATTATCTGAATGAAATGAACAATAGATGATGCAGTTGGTGCAGTTGTCTCGCTTATTTTGCTATGAATGTGTGGGGCTTCTTGGATACCATTTACTTTAGTAGATAGAGACGCTGGAGCGATATATTTTCATGGCCAGCTAGGTCATCGAATTCAATATGCCTGGGTTTTAATTTATGGGGTCGAATCAAGAACGAATATGGATAAATAACAATTAAATGGTATTAAAATGAAATTGAAATATACGTTTTGATATTTTGACGTAACCAATTTGCCTCTTTTTGTTTCCTAGCCTACTACGTAGCTAGATATTCTGTGCTACTACTATAATTTTTAGATCATATAATCCTAAGCGGCAGCCTAACATGATTTGTTCTTTTAATATCTCCGGTTACAGAGAAGATAGAAAGTTACGGTTTGCGCTGATATTTTGGAAATTTTGTGCTCTATTTAACTGTGCAAAGAGAAATATAGCCTCCTATTTAATTTTTTTATGCAAAAGCGCAATATATGTTATGATGTCAAACAGCGCCCTCTAGCTACCACGAAAAATTATGGAAACAAAATTTACATTGGAGATCATTAAGGAAAAAAGATCTTTTAAACGAGCCCCAGTTTGTTTAAATCGGTTAACCTAAACCAGAGTTATCCCTATTTTAATAAAAGCAAGTTTAACCTTCCCCCACCACTTTATTTTATGAGATAGAGCAAAACACTCTATATCAAAAAAATTACAAGTTTCTCGATGATTACAATAGTAATATTTAAAATACCTGTTCACCTGCATATTTTTGAGGAAAAACCTTGTTTTCTTATTGGCTATCCGAAAAACACCCCCTAGCGGACATTTTTCGAACTTGAAAATAATTTCCAGCGATTTCTCTTGGTCGATTTACTTATTAGAATTATTTTCCCGAAGTTATACGATAAGTAGTTTCTGAGATACAGCCGGCGTCCGGTACATACAACTGAAATGTAAAGGTAAAGTAATAGATATACATTATTTTCAACAAAACTGCAAACCTCGAAAGTATATAACTTTTTCAAATACTAAACTTTTTCAAATGCTACTATTCTTGCAAGTATACAGGGTGGCGCCTCTCATACGCCGCGGAGGCTCCAAGGAGAACGACGACTTGCATTGAAATGCAATTTTGTGAGCATATGTAAGTTAATTCAGAGCACTTTTTAAAAATATAGAGAGTTCTACAGGGTGTCCCCAAAAAAAGTTACATATCAAAGTTGTGTTTTTTGTAATGAAACACCCTATATATTAATTAATTTTCGGATTCTGGGAGAAAAATAAAGGTGAGTTTTATAAGAGAAGTATATGACTAAAATGTAAGGGTTTTGACATATTTAACAATTTCTAGAAATAAAGAACAATATTTAAATTAGGTACAATAAAAGCTACTTAAATTGGAATTTACCCGGTACAGCCTAATATGTAGTTAAATTAACTATTGTATTTTAAATTAAATTGAAACTGGATCCAAAAAGTTATACAGGGTGAGACAAAATTAACATTGAATATTGGTCACCTTTAAAAGCATGTTACTCTTTTATTTTAAAGGGAACACCCAGTATATTATTCCCATATTCAATGGAAAATTCATGTCTCTTCAAAATACTATTAAGGTTGCCTACCCCTCGAACAAAAATTTTCCTAGATATTTTCATTTACTTGATAAAATCTAGGTGGCTGTGATATGTCTGACGTTACTTCAACATAGCTGTCTAATTAGTCCATCTTTAACAACTAGTTATCATTTTATGTCAGTTAAAACAAAAAAAATTCTCAGAAATTTGCCGAAAATGCAAACTTATTCTACATCTGAGAGAATTGATAAAATTTTATTAGTTGGTGAATGCAGTGTGCGTGCATTCACCAATTAATAGAATACTTTAATACTCCTAATTTTATCTAGTCTGTTTTTTTATGGGGATATGTTAAAGACAGTGTTTCCAAAACTTGACCAACTATTGTCGACAACATGAGAGAAATTATTGTAGCTGCTTTTCAAAGTAGAACTACCCATATGCCTTTTAAAACGAAACGGTCCCTTTGAAAAGACAATCATTTTATGCAGTTAACAGGAAAGGAAGCATTTTGAGCATTTGATTTCATTTAGATAATTTTTGTCACATAATTATAGGTTTATATCTAGTTTTAATTCTGAAATAATTAAAATATGTTTTAAACGCGTATCTATTTATTACCGTTGAATACTTTACCACCTAGATTTTTTCAAATAATAAAGATCTACTGACGCAAAATCATAAAAATTAAAATATCTAGGAAAATCTTTGTCTGAGAGGTAGGCAACCTTTATAATATTTTGAAGATATATAAATTCCCCCATTGGTTTAACATACAATGATTACTGGGTTACTGATTAAATATCAGGCTATACAAGGTCAACTAAAATTTAGGTAGCTGTTATCGAAATTTAAAAATTCTTCATTTTCATAAAATGTCAAATATGTCAAAAACCCTAGATTTTGGGTATATGCTTCTTTACTAAACTCAAATTTATTTTTTTCCTAGAATCCGAATATCATTTAATATATAGGATGTTCCATTAGAAAAAACACAACTTTGATGTGTAACTTTTTTTGGAGACATCCTGTATAATTCTATATACTTTTAAAAAGTGCTCTGAATTAACCCATATATGCTGGCAAAATTTAATTTCGATATAAACTACCGTTCTCCTTGGAGCTTCCGTGGCGTATGAGAGACTGACTTGATCAAATGACTTATCAAAACATTTTTTGATACAGCCTAACCTAACCAAAAACATGTTTCTACCCGTTAGACAAATTTGTTTTATTAGTCAAACGCTGACAAGTTGGTCTCCGTTGGATTAACGCAGAAGTGTTTATTTATTTTTTATAAAAAATAACTATTTTATTTTGTAGATTTTCTTCCAGTACGAGTGGCGAAATACCCATAAGCCTTTTTGTAGGTATACTTAGGGCAGTAATAACTGATAAAAAAGGTGTAATGCTTGATAAAGTGTTAAATACCTGCTGTAATTGAGTCTGAAGAGATTGCGCTTGTTGTTGCTGCTGCTGTTGTACAGATGTAACCGCAATTTGTTGAAGTTGTTGTACTGATTGATTTGATTGACTTCCAAGTTGCGGTGCTACAGTAGGAGGAGTAGAGGCTTGTATTGGATTTGTTAAAATTGTCCCCGGAGAAGGCATTTGCGTAATTTGTTGCTATAAAAACATAATATATAGATAATTAAAAACTAGTGTTTTTAGTGATTAGTCTAAGTTTAATAATATAGAGTTTTTATCCAATGATGACAACTTCACTCTGTCAGTAACGGGCCTCAAATTAGTAGAAAGTGCATTAAATAACCTAAGTCCATCACTAAATAGCTTATTTTGCACAATATGTCCTTTTTTCAAATTTTATATCACATCGCTGGATAAATTTTATATTGTATTATTTTTTAATTATTGGTAATACACTCACCGGCTCGAAAAATGGGCACCTTAAAATGTTTATGTATTTTAAAGTTTTATAGGTATATTGTGTTCTAGTGGACATATTTTGATGATCTTTTAAGCAATTTGTAGTTAAATTATTTGACTTTTTAGTATCTCTTTCTAAATTAAAAATGAAACTTTCCATCAATTATACTTGGGAACACAAAGTATTGTTATTTTGGTAAAAGTTTGGAACTCTCTGTGGAATATATTAAAAAAGCAAGGAATTCAAATCAATTTTATCATCTAGCTACATCATTTTTCGATAGTTAATTTTTTGGTTTATCTCAATAGCTTTATTTTTCTGGAGATATTCGCTTTTGAAGAATACATTAACATTTTTTCGTAATTTTTACATTAAAACAATGCCTTTGCTTTTAGTCCCAGTCAACAAACCTACGAAATAGTGTTTATGATTTATGTAATATAACTGTTATTGAAAAATCATATTATTATTGTCTGTTGGGCTCTAGCAGAGATGGTTTTAAGTCCAGAAGTTGTATCCCCTATAGTTGTTTTAACTGAGGATGATGGAGATTAAAATTATGTCGCTAACAGATAGGTGTTGCACGAAGTACGGTGCAGTCGCTTCCTAGAGACAAGTTCATATGCTAGACGTCCAGAAACATTCGTATGAGAACTTCGAATCGAGACGATTGATTTATTGTAAGTTTATCGCTAAAAACGCCGTTTGCAAGCTTTTCAAATTTGTAATGAATTGCACCTAAGGAACGTACATCTAAGTGAACGCACTGTAAGAAGATTAAACGATGCAAATATTATGTCAAGAAAGCCTGCTTCGGGACGCGTATTTCCATAATATACCACGTAGAGAGCATAATGTCTTTAAGCCCCGCCCCCCAAGCTTAGTTCAGCAGCAAAGATGTCTCTAACCTGGTATAGAATGGAATTGGAAAATGCGCCAAAATCGGGTATAGTTCGTAGTCGCATTACTGCCGTAACTTTTGATAGTATAAATAGTAATATTCATTTATGTAAAATAGTGTATATCTATTCTTTATCATTATATTAAAAATATGACTAGAAATATAAAACAAACTAAATATCAGCAAAAATAGCATTTATTTATTAAATAACTAGCGTGTACCAGCGACTTCGTTCGCGTCGAATTAATCATTTGTAATGGTGATGATAAAGCAAAGCAAGAATAACATACAACCTGGATAAAAACTCTTTTCTCACATTTATGTCAGCATGAGAAAAAACAATATGGCCATATTATTATATAACTTGGTAATATTTGAGGGGTAGTTTCATCTCGTTGGAATTTGACTTTCGTAAAATCCGTTTGCCAAAAATAAGCTTTTTACGTCAAGCACTTTAAGCAGAATCGTGGTTAAGAAATTACCCAACTTTTTGGAACACCCTGTATGATTTTTTAAAAAATTTCAAAATATGTAAAAAAACCAAATAAATTATGCTTGTCCAAACGTTTTCCCGAAAGACTAACCGTTTTTTAAATAACAAATATTGTAATATTTGAGGGGCGTTTTCACCCTCCTGGAATTTGAGATTCGAGAAACTCCTCCTTATCGAACCTCTACACCCCACAGTCAATCCGTTTACCAAAAATCAGCTTTAAACGTCAAGCAGTTTAAGCAGAATCGTGATTACTCAATGGTCATATTTTATGAAACACCCTGTATAAATTTATAAAAAAAACTTAAAATATGTAAAACAACAAAATAAAATATACGTGTTTAAGAGTTTTTCCGAAAAACTCACCGGTTTTTAAATAAAAAATATTTTAATATTTGAGGGATAGTTTCACCCCCTTAGAATTCGAGTTTCGACAAATCCCTTCTTATCGAACCTCTACACCCTAGAATAAACCTGTATGCCAAAATTGAGCTTCTTAAGTTGAGTGGTTTGAGCAGGATCGTGATTAATCAGTATGTCAGTCACTTAAGGATTTTATATGTATGTTAACTTTAGATTATTTTAACCCTTAAATAAAACAATCAACCAGATAAACCACTTTTATTATTACGTCATACAGCTTGTGCTATTCTAATATTGACTGGTACTCTGGTGCGCTCGTACTGGCGCGGAGCCGGCGCGTTCGCGATGCCTTGCCCAGGCCTCTCCCGAGCCATCTAGAGCATCCTTGCGCATGCTGATCTCGCTCGGCCACCCTGTTGTCATGATGTAATTTTTATCATATGTTAACATGTATATTAGTATAGATGTATATTATATTAATTTCTTTAAAATATAAGACACTAAAAAAATCCTATCCTAATTAACATTGCTATTTCCTGTCAAACTGCCTATGTTTAGCTTAAAGCATTAAAATACTAATGTCCTTTGGCATTTGGAACATATTTGGTAATATATTTACGCAAGCACTATTTTTTCATTTTTAGTCTGTTCTCTTCTGATAGCCCTCCTGATTGTCTTTTTTTGCGAGCTCGAACCATAAATTCTTCTGGATAAAGCTCTTGATTGTACCGTATGATCGAGAAAAAATGGAGTCCAGTTGGCTTGGAAATGACGATCGTTGACATTTCCCATATAATTTTACATATAAAATGACAGCGATCTTCATTTCATAGCCATCGCTGACGCCGTTTTTTTTCGATGATGTGGTACTTTAATATAATTGCTTCTTTTACAATATATTGTAGTATTTGTAAGAAATGTTTATAACTGCTGTTCTGTGGCAATATGATTAGACCGTATTAATATTTCTAGCATCTTTAAGCATTTCTGGCATCTATCTTTCTGTCATGTTAAATAAACCCAGTATCCTTTCCATATTTGTTTTCAATAAAGCATGTAGCGCTACTTACAGCAATGTTTTTTGGTGAACAGCAAGCTGTTGACTCTTGTGAAGCTGAGTCACTGTTCATATCGAAAATTTTACTTTAGGTCTCTTATATTATTTAACATAATCTCCAACATACTTAATCCATCCTGATGCTTCTTTACATTTTGCAACGGTAATTGGCTAATTCAATACAAAATGCACTTCTTACATTTTGCGACTAAGAATGCTCAAGTGGCTTATATCACGTTGTAACGCTGAGAAGTCGACTCCATATTATACCGCATTTGGCCGCATTATCCTATTCCATTCTATACCGCGCTAGAGACATCTTCACTGCTGAACTAAGCTTGGGGGCGGGGTTTAGATACCCTATGCTCTCTACATGGTATATTATGGAAATACGCCTTCGAGACCACAACTTACTAAGTCTGTTGACTAGGACCAAAAGCAAAGGCACGGTTTTAATGTAAAAATTACGAAAAAATGTTAATGTCTTCTTGAAAAGTGAATATCTTCAAAACTAAAGCTATTGAGACGAACCAAAAAGTAAATCTATCGAGAAAGGATGTAGCTAGATGATAAAATGATTTGTAAATTCCTTGTTGCCTTAACGTATTCCACAGGTGTTTCAAATTTCCACCAAAAAATCAACATTTTGTTTTCCCTCGTATAATTGACAGATGGAAACTTTCATTTTTAATTTAGAAAGAGATATTAAAAAGTCAAATAATTTAGCTACATATTGGTTAAAAAATCATCAAAATCGGCCCAGTAGAACAAAATATACTAAACTCTAAAATACATCAAAATTTTAAGGTGCCCGATTTTCGTGCCAGTGAGTGTAGTAAGGGACGATATATCCCTCGCAATTTTGCAAACTACACATGTATATGTTAGCTGAGTGACTAAAGCGTTACTGCTAAATGCAAAGTTAAATAAGTAGCAGTTTAATTAAAATAAATATTAGATATTAAATAAATCTACTTACTGAATGTAATTGCTGCATATTCACTTGCATAGTCTGCTGGGTAACCGATTGATTTTGTTGTAGGGGAATATTTTGCTGTATGGTTCCCTGAATTTGCTGCTGAACTTGTTGCGCGTTTGATTGAGTGGACATAGACACAACAGGCATTATAGGTCTATCATTCGTTATTTGCAATTGTTGCTGTGGTATGCCTTGAATGGTCTGAACTGTATCAAAAATAGTTGGAAAATAGTTAGAATAGTAATGAATGGTAAATATACCGTGGGATCTTATATATAAATAATCATTTGGCAACAAAATTGCAATATAATTTCGTGTCGACTATATTTTTACCCTAAACTTCAGCATAACAACGACAGATGACACCAGATGTCAAATTATGAAACCAAATTTTAATAAAAATAAACTATGCTTTATTTATAATATATACATTTCTATTCATTAATAACACATTAAATAACAAACATCGAAAATTATTTACTTTGTAATGATAGGCATTATTAACACAACTCTTTTTAGTTCATACCAAAAATGTCAGACATTTTTTTTGTATAAAAAATATTATAGAAGCTTATTCATATCTTGAAACAAATTTTCTATCGAATTTTATAATAAGTTGCAATACCTGTTAAAGTGTAACAAATGAATAATGCAAATACCACTGGTAAATCAGTGCGCCGCTTGAAAAATTTTGAAAAACCATTAGCAAATTTGGCAATTGTTTACGCTTGTGATTTCTTGCCTTGTGTTTCCTTGGTTCAGTTATCAAACACCATTTACAGCGAACTAGTCATTAGCAAGTCAAGAAATTAGTAGTACAGTCAGGGGCAAAACTTAATTTACCAGTGATATTCGCTATAAGTTTCTAAGTTGAAGTTATTCGCAAAACCTTACTCATCATTGGTTTAGATTGAATCTGCTGAGATTGTTGTCCTTGCTGTAGCTGATATTGCTGTAAGGCTTGTTGTTGTTGTTGTTGTTGAATTGCTTGTTGTTGTGCCATTGTAACAAATTGTTGAGTATTGGTTACCTGACCTTGGGATTTATTTTGTTGATTTGCAAGCTGTTGTACTTTTTCAGGGGTCATAGGTGAACCCGGAGCCATAGTTGTGGTCATGCCAGTCGAAGTATTCATTACAAGCATTCTGTCAAAACAAACCTTATTTAATCAAATAAAACAAATAATCAAAAATAAATTAATTTAGTTTTATAAGTTCAAAAAACCGTAATTCAATATATTATAGTATATAGAAAAAAAATAGTATTAGAAATGGTCTATCTCCAAAGCTGGAGAATAAAAATCGAATAAGAAATTGTTAATGCAGGAGGACAGGAGGACTGTAAACAACGATATTATAAATTTAGATGTTCTATGAATGTAATATTATAACAGTAGGTAGTCTTTTTCAAGTTTTTTTGATGCAACTTAAGTTTTTTATGGATGAATTTGTATTCATACGGTTTTCGATGAAAAATATCGATTTTGAAGCGATAGCTCAAAATACGCTTATCTTGAACCAGCGCTAGAGCCTAATCTCATTGTCTGAGGAAAACTATAAAGAACTGAATTTGTAGGTAATTTTGTCTACTTTTATTTTGCATAGAGGTATAATTTCTGAAAAATTTAAATTTTTGGAGTTGTAAGCAAAAAAACGCAAAAATTATGTAAATATGTTTTTTGCATTTTTTTCAATGTTGTTAACATCAAATTCGGATTCAGCGCCCCACAAAAAACATAACGAACAAATTAAATCAAAATTACCCCAAAAGTTTCTCCAAAAAAATACAATTTGACTAGACTATATTTCGGTAAAGAATTGTCGTATTCAGACTTAAAAAAGGCATTTGATATTCAAATTTCAATTTTTTTAGCTAAAACTTTTTAGAGGCTACTAATGCAATCCTAACAGATAGCGCGAAAAAATAATATAGCATTTTTTTTTATTTTCTATTATTTAATGGTCTAATTGCTAAAGCTCCCAGACTAGTCCTCTTTAGAGTTACACTATTTTTTCATATTACAAAGTAAAAATAACGAATTCTCGTTGACAAATTATCGTGAGATAATAATATGCTTTAATTAGATAGGATAGTTACGTTATGAATACGAAGTGAGCAAAGTTAGATATATTACTATACCGTATGAGAAGCAGAACGGCATCAAGTTGTCGTGGAAGTGAGTAATCGATGACATTCAACATTTAATATTAAATCGTTGATAAAAGAAATAAGAATATGCGCAACCTTATGGTCCATTTCGTGACACAAAAGATGTCCGAGATGTAGCTGGCGATTAAACTATAAAGTCAGCGATTTAGTTTAGGTCTGCGCCGCTGCGTCATGATACTCGGGCAGCGGATAAAGAATACTGTACCGTAGTTCTGCTTTCAGTCGACAGATTGGGTGGTTGCCGGAGACGGTGTTTAACCCAGAACTACGGATTAATCCGTAAATTTGCGGATTTTGGGTACAGTATGTTAATATACGGATTTTCCATCATTAAATAATTTAATATAATATTATATCATAAAACAAAGAACGGCCGGCGTCAGAGTTGGCTTGGAAATAAAGATCGCTATTGTAAAAAATGTCTATACCTATGTGGCGGCTTCATCTCCCCAAAAAAATCCTTTATGGGTATTTCGCCACTGCGTTGCAGGAAAATCTACAAAATAATAGTTATTTTTTGTAAACACTTCTGGCGTTAAACCTAAACGGACACTGCTTGTCAGAAGTTATGTTTACAGTTATACAAATGTGCCTAACAAAGAAAAAATGCTTAACGTTTCGGAAAGTTTATATCTTTCCGTCGTCGGAAGGAAAAAAATACAAAGAATAAAGAAAAAAACTATTTAAAATATTTAAATTCAACTATTCGAGAACACTTTACTTTTTTAAAACAGATGCGTCTACAAGAAACCGTTGACGTTCTGTTAAAATGACATTATATCAAGCTAACTTAAAATTACATTATATCAAGTTAAATAAATACCCATAAAGGATTTTTTTGAGGGAAAGATCGATTCATATATGTAAAATATTATGGTAAATGTCAATAATCGTCATTTCCAAGTCAACTAACGACTTTTTTCGATCGTACGAAATATTCAATACATATAAAAGAATTTTTATTTTTGTTGTTTATTCTATGTTTAACACGAACAAATTTTCAATGCAAAACGCGGATTTTTCATCCACAGATATTTTCGTCCCCAAACGTATTACAGATTACACATTTTAATGGCAACACTGTGGCTTTCAGTTCCACACCGTCTTCGACATGCCTTCGCTAGCCGAATTAGAGAAAATAAGCGCTTTAAGGTTGTCGCACACTAGAACACGGCGCGGCGCTGGGAAGAGAATTTTTTCCGGCTGCGAAGGGACTGCGCCCACTATAGCGCGCTTTTGAAACGCGAAATGCTATTTAGTTAGTCGAAGTGCTTTTTACTTACTGTAGTTTAGTTTTTAAAGCAATGAGTTCAAGTGCGAACGAAAGCGTATTTTGTGCTCTTCTAACAGATGAAGAGAAGAGCAGGTGAGAAGAAAAGGAAAGGTTGGACTCATAAGATTAACAAAAAAGAAAGAAGTTTGGAGAATTTTACCATCTTTTTCCAGATTTAATAAAAGGTAAGAGCATTCTTTCCAGTATTACAAAATATAAAGAAAACATTTTACGAACTCTTCAATTGAGGGTTTTAGAAGCAAAACACCGGGTATCTCTACTCATCATATTTTTTCAGAATTATATAATGTCCTAAAAATATTCTATAATGCTCCCAACATCATCCTTGTATTATCCTAGAAATATCCCAAATAATCGTAAAAGGCTTGCCTAGGGATGTCTTGAAGATGACTTTTTTTGTCCCACTTGGATATCCCATAAATATCCTCCTCTGGTTTTTGGATATCCCTAAGATATTTACTATATCCTTGGTGGATATCCTCAAGATATCTATAGGATTGTGTTGTTTTATATGGGGATTGTCATTTTTGTCAAGAAGTGGAGATTGCCGGTTTTGCTTCTACACCCCTCAATTATATTAAAGCTTTGATAGAAAAACAATTCGTCCATCTGTCTCTAGTGAGGGAAGACTAAAAAAATCATATTCCTTTATGAAAATCTGTTTGCCTAATTTACCTTTAAAAATACATTTCTACCATTGATACGTATCACTAGTTCCTAGTCAAAAAGCCAACTGAATAGACTCGATATGAAAATTATTTCCGTTGTGAGTACGCACACTGCCACGCGCCGAAACGCGGGAGACGGAAAAAAGTTGCTAGAGAAGTCTTCCGACTTCTTGACGGAGTCGCGCCGCGGTCAAGTGGGCGACAACCTTTATGCGTTGGCCGCAGAACGAGTGGCGGCTCCAGCGTACCGCACTTGAAACGTAAGGGGAAATCAAATCAGCCTTGTCACGATTGATACGCCCATTAGGTTGCGTATCTTCTCAATTCTTTTAATCAACGATTAAATGTATAATGACAGCGATCTTCATGGCAAGCCAACTCTGACGACGTTTATTTTATGATGGTTGTATGTTGGTATAATTATCAGAATGCTCAGTTTAATATATCTCTAAATTTATAACCTCCCTAAATACATACTTATTTCCTACAATGTGATGTTGAAGATTGTACTTCATTTGTGTTTGATTTGCAGCATCAGCTTTAGGCGCTGGCGATCGAATTTGTGGTGCTTTCGTTCTAATTTTGCCACCTGGTTTATTTCCCATTGATGCCTGCAAAAAAATCTGATTTGAAATAATTATTATCAGCCGATAAAATTACCTTGTAGTATTGAAACATAGATATCTCATGCAGTATAATACTCTATCGAAAATAAATGGATTTATTTTATTTGACTGTCAAATTTAAACTTACAGGCGTCTGAGCTCCTATTGTTTGAGTAGATACTGAACTTGCAGGTCTAATGGCAGCAGCGTTGGACGGTAAAATATTTAATGGTCTGTTTGTCGTTTGTTTAGGTTGAATATTTTCATTAACTGGTCGAGTTTTATTCACTTGTTGGACAGTTCCTTGCGTGGCGATTGTTTCTTAAAAAATAGTTTATTTTCACGTCACACACGAGAAAAATTTCAACGTTTTAAAAGTACAAACAAAATAAAATACAAAAGCAAAATTGTTCCAAAAAATCCCTAAAAATTCCCTAAAAGAAAGGGAAAAATGATTATCCTAGATCATATACACTATATAGGGTGATTCACGGCCATGGCACGGTAGACGTTTGTGAAGAACCGCTTATATGTTTTTTTTAATTTTGATTTTTGGCCTCCTGCTCCATCGGTCTAAATTATTTTTAGCATTACAGTGTTGCTGCTTCATATTAAAAGTGGTAGCATCTTTGTTATTTTAAATGAAACATCCGGTATATTATTACATGTTTTCGATACTACTTTCTTAAAACATAATTTTTCAATTATACTAACCTATACCAATCTCTAATAGTTTTCAAGAAAAAATAAATAAAACATGTAAAATTGCCAAAAACAAAATCTTGAATATGCATTGCAATAATTAAAGAATACAAGGACGCGTAACGCGCATATACGGGCTGTTAGACGCCATTTTTTTGGAGACAATGGAATTGGCACCAGTGCCAAATTTAGCAATAATTATTAATATTTTGTTGTGTGTGGTGAACTTTGTATAAACTTTATTACAATGGTGATTTGTTCAGCATTTCAAGTGTAAAAGCCGCAACAATAAGAGACAGAGCCAGGAATTACGTTTAAAACAGTTAATTTTCTGCACTGAACATTTTAACGCTTTCTTAGGGCCCGTCCAGACGAGCGACTCAGTGGCGCCACGCTGAAACGCTGCTAAGTGGCATATTCTGGCCACTGTGGTGCGCCACACGGTGGACACATGGACGGTGCCACACAAATCGATCTGTGTAGCAAGCCAGTTTTTATTGAATAATGTATACCCAGTAGTGAAGCGGGATGCTGACTAATTTAAAATGGCCCGTCTGGAGGAGGACACGCGACCGGTGGTCGCGATTCGTGGCGGGGACCGGCGACCGATCGCCACGGACGCGCTATCTCGCGACACAAAATCGCCCGTCTGAACGCCTTCTTGAAGATATGTGGGATATAATAACAAAACAATGGGAGCCACTCTGTGGCGCCACGCAGTAGCGCTACTGAGTCGCTCGTCTGGACGGGCCCTTAATAATTATTTTTCTGATATTATACTATGATATGTTCTAACATACAGTCCATACTAGTTTTGTACTGTTTGTGAACGTTTTATACGTCAAAGAAAAAGCAACCTTCATAAGCGTAGGCGAAAAATTTATCAAAAATATAAATAAATATTATTAATTACCAAATAAGTCTAATAAGCATAACAGTACGTAACAAATTAAATTTCGCAACAACCGTCCGAAAAAGAAATATTTGTGAAACAATTAAAATTCCAATTTTTATTTAATTCTGCATTTTTTATATTACCCTTCTGGCACGGCACTGTTTGGAGACAAGTGGTAACAATTTGGTCTCGGGTGTTATTAGATCTTGTATTGTTTCGTCACTGATGCATTGATTAAAACCGGCATATTGAAAGATGAAATTTGGTTTATCGGTTAAGGAAAGTCGTCATATCCAGTCTATCATCAACCGATTGGATATCAAACAGGGTGTTAAAAAAATAATTATTTCCGTTTGTTATAAAATCGTTCAAATCATTGCTATTTTAAATTCAAGCCTATGTATATTATTTAAAAAATGGAGTTACAAATAGAATTGCTTTCATTTAAAAGATAATAATTATTGTTTCCTTTAAAGAAAATCGTCGCCATGACAAATATTCAAACTTTATAAGTATCAATTTCAATTATTACACTTTACTTATTAATTTTTAAATAGCTCTACTTAAAAAAAACGAAAGATTTAGGTATAGAAACATGATATATCCTTCAATGCAATTTTATACAATATATTAATAATATATTATCTATGCCCATCGACCGGTTCGTGGACCCACTATTATTTACGTAGGAAGTAGAGGGGAGGGAGATTCGTTCCCAGTTCGAGACACTTCCGCTTTTTTCGCGTGTGTGCACAGTCTTACACTTTTCAAATGTTGCGGCAACATGCTGAAAATATTTTAGATAGATGGAGCAGGTGCCTTGATGTAAAAATCCAAATTTTCAAAAAAAAAATATCACCGGTTCTCCATAAACGTCAACGTATCATCGCCGTTAATCACCCTATATACTTCATATCATCTAGGGGAATTATACTGTTACCATAATGAAATCTAGTAAAATCCCTAGATCATAATATATACTTATATATAAGTTTAGCATTAAAAAATATGTCTCCAACATCACGACATGCCATATTCAAACCTTTTTTATTGCACTTATGAAACGTTCAATAGGTTTGTCTTTCTCTTAGTCTCTCGAGGACCTTAGTTTGCGCATGCGCATTAAAAGTTGCACGTATTTCCAAAATAATCACAATTTTATACGGTTTAGAAAGTTCAAATTATACAAAAAACCAATTATTCATTGTCATCATATTATCATAATCATATGTCGTAATCTTATTTCCATTGTGCAACGACGCCTGTTTTTTACGTTTTTATTTTAAAAATTGTATTAATTATTCTTTTATCGACCGCTTTTATATAGCCAAGATCGCAAGTGTGTTCAGTTAATTTAAAGAAGTTAATTTTAAGTTTGTGCATTTATATTTCTATTTTTTTTTTCGTTGGACTTTCTAAATACTCGTAAAAATTACTAGAAAGTGTTTAGTGCGTGAAAGTTCTAATATAAAGGTTCCCGAATTATCTTTTCATAGGCAAGTAAAGTATTCAGTTGTTCTTTTATTTATATGAAGCCACATGCATACTTTCTGGTTAGATTTCCTAAGAATATTGATATTCGTACGGAGTGGCTAAATGTATTTTTATATAATTTAATTTTTGTGACAGTAAACATTCAATTTATTGTTCAAATATAAATAATTTACAAATTAAATTTTTAAAATTAATGTTCAAATTTGGCACGCGGACGAAAGGTCCTCAACAAAGATAGATAGAATAGAAGCACTGCGTGTGTAACAAAAAAACAGATGATAAATGGAAGTCGTGGATATGTCTGCGACAGTTTCCATATAGTGATTTACTTATCAACGTAAGTATTGTTGAGATTTAAAGAGTTTGGATTCACATTGTATTATGTTTACCTTTTACCTATTTTTTTGAAGTTCAAGCATTGTTAGAATTTTTAGACAGCAAAAAAAACCGGTCTCATAATTAGAATTTTTATTAAAAGACCGTTTTCTCTGAGAAAACACAACATTTTATGGTCTTCGAGCATTGAGCAGCATGGAAGGAATAATTACCAGAAGCAAGTCAAAGGAACGCAGGGCAATGGATGGTGATAACGAGAATGTAGATGATGGGATACAACAGGCAGGAATTTCCGAAACCGTCGGGGACGCTGAGGCTACTGTGAAGGGAACTACCAGTGCATCAAGGGCAAGAAATCAAGCTAGCAGAGTAACAAGCCAAGCAGTCAGCGAGGTGTCCAAGACCAAGGGTAAGTCCCATTCTAAACATTCTATTTTATCTAGTACAGTTAGTAGTAAGAGGTTAGAGGCGTTAAAACAGGCGGACGAGGAGTTAAAAAAATAAGTAAGGAAGATGAGCTTCTTACCGCGCAAATATCGCTTCTAGATGAGAAAAATGAACTTATTGCTCAACGAACGAAACTAGGAAAAATACGGACAGAACAACAACACAAGATAAACGAGCTACTCTTGGAAGAGGTCAGCAATAGAAGAAGAAGTGAAGGGAATTCCAGTTGTACAGATTCATTTGTAAATGATCTGGAAAATTGGCCTGAAGACAGACTAGCAAATGAAAATTAAGTGGAAAAAATGGCTGGAGAATTTAGAACAAATTTATCAGCTTAGAATTCCAAGGTGTTATTGTCTTGCTGCGTGCTACACAGTTCAGCTACATATGTTTTCAGATGCAAGTGGAAAAGCCTTTGGAGGTGTTGGCTACTTTAGATTTGAATACAATAATGGCATACAGGTATCTTTAGTAATGTCAAAAACACAGGTAGCGCCATTAAAGCCAATATCAATACCACGTTTGGAACTTCAAACTGCTTTAGTTTCATGTAGATTAGCTGAAATCATAAAGAAAAAACATAGCATAAAAATCGATTCTACACATTTTTGGACCGATTCTCAAATAGTTTTGTCATGGATAAAATCTGAGGCAAGAATACTGGGAACATTTATCGCAAATCGTGTAGGAGAAATTCAAGAAAAAACTAGTACAAAAAATTGGCACTGGATATCAACTAAATTGAATGTAGCAGATGAAGCAACCAGAGATGAAGAAACACTCAAGTTAAACCTGAATGAAAGATGGCATAAAGGTCCGGATTTTCTATATCTACAGGATGTAGACTGGAATAGCTTAAACCTAGAACAAAAATGTGAATCTATTTCTGAATCAGGAGAAAATGAAGAATTAATTCTGGTTAATCAAAAAGTTTCATTAGATTTTCTACCAGATATGAGAAAGTTTTCTTTTTGGACAAAACTCATACGAAGCACCGCAATAATTTACGTTTTTATAGATTTTAGAATTGCAAAAAGAAGAAAAGACACCAAAATATCCAGACAAGATATAGAAAAAGCAGAGAGTTTGTGGATTAGGAAAATTCAGACAGATAGTTTTCAGAAAGAGATATTAGATCTAGAAACTAAAAATATTGTAAATTCACTATCAACTTACACCAACGTTGAAGAATGGACTCATCTGTATGAATGGAAGAATTAACAAGGCTGTAGAACTACCAGAAGAAACAAAAAACCCAATCATTTTAAGCAATAAGCATTTAGCAACCAAATTATTAATTTTGATGTACCATAGAAGAACTGGACATGGAGGAGTAGGAATTACGTTAAATGAAATTAGACAAAAATTCTGGATATTACAAGCAAGAAAAACAATAAAAAACGTAATAAGAAATTGTGCCTTATGTGCCATAAGAAAGGCTAAGCCAAGAATTCCGCAAATGGGACAAATTCCAGAATTTAGGCTAGAAAAACCAATGACACAAAGACCCTTTACATATACGGGTATAGATATGTTTGGCCCATATAATGTTAGCATCGGGAGAAGAAGAGAAAAAAGATATGGTATGCTCTTCACTTGTTTGTCAGTAAGAGCAATCCATATTGAATTGACAGAGACACTTAATACCGATTCTACATTATTAGCCCTCAGACGTTTTATTTCACGTAGGGCTCAACTTAAAATGATTTTATGTGACAATGGTGGGAATTTCCATTCTGCTGCTAAAGAACTAAAAAGCGCTCTGAAGGAAATAGATTATGACAAAATAGAGAGACATTTATTAGCAGAGGAAATCGAATGGAGCTTTATACCACCTGCCAGTCCCCACATTGGAGGCGCGTGGGAGAGAATGGTCAAGTCAGTCAAGTCCGCTTTAAAAATTACACTGAGAGAACAATCACCAAGACCAGAAGTTTTGGAAACATTAATGTGCGAAGCCGAACACATTGTAAATAGCCGTCCTTTAACATATGTATCATCGAGCGCGGAAGATCCATTAAGTATCACCCCAAACCACTTTCTTATAGGCTCATCAAGCATAGTCAAACCGCCAGGATTATTTATCGATGAAGATGGGAATATTAGAAAACAGTGGAGGATTTCTCAAAAAATTACAGAACATTTTTGGACCAGATGGATAAAAGAATACATTCCAACACTTACCAAACGAACGAAATGGTTCCAAGAAAACAAAAATCTAAAAATAGGTGACCTTGTTATTTTGATGGACGATAAATTACCTAGAAACAATTGGCCGCTGGGACGGGTAGAAAAAGTATATCCGGAACACGATGGAAAGGTACGAGTAGCCGATATAAAAACTAAAACTGGGACTTACTGCCGACCTCTCACTAAAATCTGTATTGTTGAATGTTTGGAAATGGGTGAAGACTGAAGAAGCAGCTTCACGCCCGGGAGAAAATGTTGAGATTTAAAGAGTTTGGATTCACATTGTATTATGTTTACCTTTTACCTATTTTTTTGAAGTTCAAGCATTGTTAGAATTTTTAGACAGAATAAAAAAGCAGTTGTCATAATTAGAATTTTTATTAAAAGACCGTTTTCTCTGAGAAAACACAAGTATAATATATGATCTAGGGTAAAATCTAGTATACTATTCTGAGATACTATTACTCAATTTTATAAAATACCGATTACCTATTGAACCTTGCTCAATTTAAATCGTTCGCCATTACCTTTTTATTTTTGATATTACCTTCTCTATATTGCATACATTATTCTTTATTAGCAGGATTCAAATAATTTATTCTATTATTTGAGATTTTAAATTTATTAATTAAATAGATATAGTAATATTATTAGATTTATTTCAAAACTTACGATTTTGTTGAGTCTGAATGGTCGCGGTCTGTGGATTCTGTTGAATGAACATTCCGGGAGTACCATCCGATTGTGTACCTCTAATAAATATAGGATTGGGTGCCAACAAAGCTTGAGACTGTATACCATTTGTTGCCCATACTTGGGGCAATCCGTTAGTAAACTGCCAGGGTAACCCATTTGTGAACTGCATTTGTTGGCTTCCAGGCTAAAATATTAGTGTTAAATATTGTCATATTAAATAACAAAAAAATTACTTGTATAGGACTGATTATTTGTGCGGTAGGTTGCGTTCCTATCATGGCTTGTGACACTTGAACGCATTGGCCTTGCTGTTGCGTTTGAGCCACGGCCCCTGTACTGCTAGCGACTTTTTGCATTTGTACTTTTTGGCCACCCATAACCTACACATATACATGGTTTATAAGATTACAAATTATTTTTACGGGCTGTTACTTTAATAATTAAATTTTAATTCATTTAGAGATTGTCGAAAATTTAAATTAACATTAATTTTATCAGCAATTATTTAAAAAATTGGAAACTATGTCGTGCTGTTGTTCCATAGCAAGAGTGTAATGCAAAATGCATAGATAAATGCAACAAGTTTAGATTGGAAAGCCCGTAAAAATTTTAGGTCGCGAAATTATTTTGGGTCGCGACCGTTATACGCGATCTGGCGCTGCTATAGCGGTCGCTAAGAACAACGGCAAACAAAAACCGAAATAATTTTCTCTTGTCAAAGTCAGAATCTTCAAAAATCATAATAATCTTTCAAATCTAAACCGCTCTCACTAAAGAAATTCCGAAAAGTGTTTATAGCGTCCATTTTCAAAGTAATTATTGCTATCTTGTGAGTTTAATTCAAGTTTTATTTACTCCAACCGGTAATAATTGTGAAAAAGTGGCATTAAAAACTTAAAAAGCTGTGCTGAGAACTGTAAACTGCAAAAACCATCGTGGATCGTGGCATAACGTCGGTTTCCAATGTTTCATAGGTATTTCATACATGCGTCCTTATATAAAATAAAGTTTCTTGTATGCAACACACTGTATTTTATTTATAAAATTAAACGAAAATAATAATAAATTTGAATAAACAATATTTGGCGATATAATTCCGGAAAAAGCCGAACCGCTCCGAAATTTTCAAAAGTTTTGGGTCGCGACCGTTGCAAGAATAGCGCCAAATAGTGTTTACATTGTCCTTATGGGCACTTTTCAATCTAAACTTGTTTCATTTATCTATGCCAAAATGTTTTATTCAACATAAGAAGTAGAATTATTTTATAGCTTTGAATAAGAAAACTAAGGAAGGAGCATATCAAAAATCTTAGGTACACCGCGATAGGCCTCAAATATGGCCGACTTAAATTCCGGTTTATCAGTGTCGTTCTAATTTTATTTAAAAAATGTAAAACTATGATGTAGGGTAGACGTGGGGTAGACTCAATAATTTGTTGTTTTATTTTACGTTGTGAATAAATGTTGGTAGTTATTAAAATTATTATAAAAATATATAATTCTAATAAAAATAGATAAGTTATAATAAGTATTTATTACCACAAACATCCGATATGCTACTGAAGCAAGTAAGTAAAATTAACGTATCTAAATTATTTGACATCTAATCTTTGACAAGTAATAAATAAAAGCTAAAATGCAAGAAAAATATATAATTTAGTTAATTTAAGTGAATTTCATAAATGATCGGTTTACTACACGTATGTATATTATATAGTCACTTACTAGCGAAAAGTTGTTCCATTATTTCACTCAATTTTTGCCGAGATCTACCGCACGCTACACAACCAACTATTTTAGAGTCTTTTTCGATAAATCGCGATAGTGTCACTGTTAATTTAAGTTCTGCCACAATTTCCATCTAGATTTGCTACCTTTATACAACTATCAATAGTAGAATAAATAATAAATAACATAAAATAAGCTCCGTAAAGACTGACAAATCCACAAAATTTCAAATCAAATTCAAATGTGTCAAATGCATCGTCAAACAGAACTGTCAAGGATCCCCACCCTAGAGTGCTTTTATGCCGCTTTTTCCGCCCACCATGCATGAGTACATGGATAGCATTATGCTCCTTCCTTAGTCTTCTTATTCAAAGTTTTATAGGCTTGGTGCATTCTCCGCCGGTGCTGCCACCGCACGAGAATATCGTAAATAACGAATAACTACAAATACAGGGGTTTAAATGGCGAGTAAAGAAAAAATTAGTATATAATTATTCTAAAAGTGTTAGAAAGTATAATTTGTGGAAATTCTAAATAAAAAAATAAAAAGATAAATATTTTGATATCTTCAGAAGGCCTAACTTGCATTATAATTTATTATTCCAGTTAAATTTTTTTTAGATAAGTTCAACTACGGTAGCGAGCATAGTTTTATCACCGGTTTCGCTAGTGAGGCATAATTGGAGCTATTTTGGCTATAACGAAATTTTTTAAGGTACTTAATAATTATAATTTTAGAATATTGCAAATTATATTTCATCCTTCTCATAGTATATGTCTCACTTTGTTTACTCACTTGTTTCGTCGAACCGCTTGAATTCATTTTCGTTTTTGATCAAATCGGTGTGAGAAACTATGAAGCTATAAAGTGTTGTTTCGGGAGAGTTGAATATCCGGGAAAGTTGAGTTATTGAATGTTGTTGCACTTAATAATGCCTTAATTACGCTCTCCGTTACGCGTTAACATTTTTTTGGGTCAATTTTATTAACATTTGAAATTGTCACAACGCAACAAGACGCCTAGTTCGAATTCTTTTTCACTTATTTTTTTACTACTCGAAACAGCGTTAGGTACACACATAAACCTCGTACCTGAGTGTTTTATAGTCTCAATAACTGTACTAGCAAAAAACTAAAATACTTAAATATTATGACAAAACTCTGATTTCAATATTATTTTTAGCGATGGGAACTATCGAATGAATTAGACTATCGAATGGTTACTGAATGAATGATTTCAACTATCGAATGGTTTTATTCGAATAAAATCATTCATTCATTTGTATACTAAAGCATATGTGACAACCTCGCCGTGCGACTAAATGGTTATCGTTGAGCCACGACTATCGAATGCTTTTGATAAATGAAATTTAGTATTCGTTTGATTTTTGTGTGCGTGAGTGCATTATTAGTTCTTCCAAATTTTTATAACTTCGCCTTATAAATACTGTGCTATTTTTGCGTTTATTAAAATATTGAAAATACTAAAATAGTAGTTTTTTTTAATTGACGACTGTGTGCGTGTGCAGGTGGTCAAAAATTTTCCGAAAATTTGTGTGATTTTCCGTGGCCCGATCTTTCAATTATTTTATTTTATATGGTCTATTTTTTAATGGGAAATTTTGAGAAGTAGCAATTTTTAAGAGAGATGAGATGAACTTAGAATTAATTTTAAAAATACATATTTGTATTTTAGATGTTTTAATAATATGAATTAGTTGAACTTAATAATCATATTTAAGTAATGTGGTTAAGTAAATAGTTATCGAATTCAAACTATGGGATGAGAAAATTAAATTGAAAGTTTTACACGTGCCAATTAAAAAAAAAAGCTAACGATGTTTGTATTTTGTTTATGCTAATTCTCTTACATGTAGTTTTTTGCGAAGAAATATTTCATTTATTTTTTAAAGTAAATGCCAGTAAAAGTAAATATTATTTTTAAATAGTAATATAAGGTATCTAATATAAATAATTTTGATTTCTAATTTTTTATTTATATTTTCCTTCCATTACACTGCATGCTTAGAACATAACAAATTAGTTCTGTAATTATTATTATTTAATAAACCAAAACGTTGCCAAAAAAATTAAAGACTATATTATTTTTAAATAGGATCTAATATAAATAATTTTGACATCTAATTTGTTGTTTATATTTTGCTACTACGTAAAAAAAATGTTTATATTAAATTATTTTAAATTTTGTTGTCAATAGGTATAACAAATTATTACTGTTATTATTTTTTATTAAACCAGTCTTTGCTTAAAAACATTAAAAATAATTTTCCTACATCCAAAATAACAAGTATTATTGCAGTGTAACAACAGAATATTAATAAAAAAATGCAAAATATATAGACATACTATCCCTAACTAACTAAAGCCAAACAATAATATTCTTTGCTAATATCAACTAATACCAATATATGGAAACAGCCCCTTCATAATGTATTTTCTGTGTAAATACTAGCACCTCAATAAAAAAAAATTTGTGTCATTATCTTTATATGACTCCGCAAAAAATCAAAGATGCCGGCTTCTTTCATAGCATTGCTGTCGGGTTTCTCGGAAAGAAACCTACGTCGCCGGGCGACAACTAAAATCCAGTTTATATTTTATTATAATCGATCCTGACGAATAAATGAATTTCATAAATGAATGAATTTTATAAATGAATGATTTTTGCTGCCGAATTACTAGAATACAATATTTCAAGGCAGATGACGCATCTATTCGATAATTTTTATTTGAATAGTTTTCAACGAATGTTTTCTTATTAGCTATCGAATTATTCGAATGAATTGCAACTATCGAATGTTTCGATAGTATTCATTCGATAGTTCCCACTACTAATTATTTTAATGCGTTCGACATTACGCGACGGCGGCGTAAACTACATATATATTGCTAATTTCTGATTTCTGCAGTAGAGTGCGCTGCTGTCGGAATTGGTTGAAATGCACCAAGCCTATAGAATATACACAATCTACTAACCTTATGCATTTCTTGAGGTTTTTGTTGGGTCACCTGAGGGTTTCCCTGTGTTGAATGGTTTGGTAATATATTTGGTTGTGAGCTAATAACATGACTAAAAACAAGGGTTTGCTGATTCTGTGTAGTTGGAATCGTTGGTATAGTTGCATATCCCGGAAAGGTAGCTGCCTGACTGCCCTGCAGTACTTGTTTACCCTGAGTAGCTGCAATCATGTGAGGGCCAGCTAACTGATTTCCTTGGAAAGGTTTTGTAATAACCTGTAATAAATTTTGATAACCAAATGAAACAGCTAGGATCAAAACAACGAAAAACGTTAGAACGAAAAACAAACCTGAATTTGCTGGGGATTTATGCTTGGATGCAGCGCAATATTTCCAGGCATTAAAAGCTGCCCTTGTGGGTTGTAAAGTTGTTGTAAGTACATCGGATTTTGGGTAGGTTGCTGTATAACTTGAACTCGTCCGTGGCTCCAGTCAACCTAATATATCAAATTAAGAATCATTACCAAAAGCTATTAGTTTGAGAGCTAGCAACGTTTTCGAGATGGTATTTTAAGACGTCTGGCTCTTTGATATATCTTTTACTATGCTCTCTGGAACAGCATGCGGCCCGTCTGGCTGCCGATACCCGTTGCGTTCGCTACTGCACATCAGAAGATGATACTATATTTTTTTTAATTTAGTCCTATAAATTTTAGTATTGAATATAAATGGAACATGTCTCCATAGCGCAGTGCGTAGAGTTTCCGACCACGAACCGATGATTCAGAGTTCGAATCCGGGTCAGGGCAAAGACTTTTTTAATTTATTTTCGTTTATATTCTGATAATAATGTATTAAATATTTGTTACGCACTGCGCTATGGAGACATGTTCGATTTATATTCAATACTAGAATTTAAAGGACTAATAAAAATATAGGATATTCTTTCAATGCGTAGTAGGGAACGCAACGTTTACCGGCAGCCAGACGGGCCGCATGCTGTTCTAGAGAGCACATAGTAAAAGATATATCAAAGAGCCAGACGTCTTAAAATACTTGTTTTTCCGACGTTGCTAGCTCTCGTACTATATATAACACTCTCTAAATAAATATTACTTACTTGTTGTGGATGAGTAGCTTGCTGACTTTGTTGAAGAGGTGCCATTGTTGTTATAGTAGTACTGCCAGTGTGCGCAGTTGCTAAAACTTGACCACCTTGGGTTTGAATCTGAACCTGTTGACCTTGCTGTTGGTGCATCGGAGTTGTATGTTGTTGTTGTGGGGGGCCCATGTTCGTGGCTGTTTGTAAACATTGCTGACCTAAACAAATAAATATTTAATTATTGCAGTGTTTTAAAACGTAGCGGTACGGGACGCAGCGACGCTTGAAAGAATTTTAGGTGAGTTACTGTTTACTACCGCTACTGGCTACTGTTACGCATGTCGAAAGGGCAAAAATGATCACATTGGAAGAATATGTAAAGAGTTGGAAGATCATGCAAACAATAATAAAATGCGTGAGCTATATGACAAGATTAGGTACCTCGCTCGGGATTTTAAACCACGGACACAGATAATAAGAAATAATAAAAATGAGACGGTGACAAATCCAGAAGGTATAGCTGAAGTATGGAAATAATATTGTGAGAAGCTATACAGGGTGTCCCAGAAATGAGTGCAGATATTTTAAGGGGTGGTAGATCTGGTCAAAATAAACATATTTTCTCTTTACCATTTTTAAAATAAATTGAAAATAACCGAGTTATTTAACTTTGAAACTTTAAAAAAATAATCGCAACATTTTGAGAACCGCCCGCGCCTGCAGATATCGCCAACTACATCTAATTACCCGGATCAAGCCCGGATTTCAGTTAATTCGACGTACTGTGTTGCCATATGGACAAGAAAGTACATGTTTAAAAGTAAGTCATAAAATCACAACACCTGAGGAGTTTGCAGAGATGCATTACATTTTTAAGATAGTGATATTATTACATAAAATAAATTAACAGTTAAATGTTTAAAAGTTAAAAAAGTTAAATTAAAAAACTTACCCAACATTAAAAAAGATACTTATGACAGATCGATGTAAGTGTGACAGTTCTCTTTTTCGATACACACTTAACTAAAATACACTTCACTGTGCTGCTTTACTTGTACATGCTATTATAAATATCTGCTAAAATAACAGTCCCCATTTTTAACACATTATTTTCATATAGGCTTCATCACAATTTGAACCACTGATTTACAAAACATCTTGAAAAGCACATATTATTTTGAATACATTTCTGAATGAATAAATGTTGAGAATTATTGTCTCTTACCGCCACTTTACGAACTACTTTCAATCTGAGAAAATACATGTTTCACTCAACAATTTTAAATACGTATTTTGTTTTTTCGCTATTTTTTCGATGTATTTCAACAATTCCATCGACAGACCAACCGCCGGCGCCTGCCAAGAGAGCCGCGCATCACTGGTAACTGCTCCTGAGTGCTCCTTTGTCGCGCTGCCGTGTCGAGCTTGCGTCATGCGAGGTTGCCGTAGTTTCAAGAATTTCAAATTCAAGACACTCGAAGCAATCAAATTCTTATTAAATTTTAAAAATAAAACCGAAAAACATGAAAGAAAACTAACAAAACACAAATAATAATTATTGATAGGAAAAAAGAAATTTCTAAAATGTTTATTTATCGTAACTCAGAATTCAATATATCGAAAACAGCCCGACGAATAATCAATTCATTTTTGTTTTGTTAGTTTTCTTTCACGTTTTTCGGTTTTATTTTTAAAATTTAATACGAATTTGATTGCTTCGAATGTCTTGAATTTGAAATTGTTGTAACTACGGCAAAGTTGCTTAACATCGTCGTCTGACGCAAGCCCGCCACGACGGCGCAGCATGGCTCCTCAAAGGACCAGTCCGACCAGTACCAGTTCACACGCGGCACTCTTGGTCGACGGTTGTGCTGTCAATGGAATTGTCAAAATAGATCGAAAAAATAGTGAAAAAACAAAATACGTATTTAAAATTGTTGAGTGAAACATCTATTTTCTTAGATTGAAAGTAGTTCGTAAAGTGGCGATAGAGACAATAATTCTCAACATTTATTCATTCAGAAAGGTATTCAAAGTAAAGTTCGCTTTTCAAGGTTTTTTGTAAATCAGTGGTTCAAATAAAACCGAGAAACATGAAAGAAAACAAACAAAACAAAAATGAATCGATTATTCGTGGGGCTGATATTGAATTTTAAATTACGATAAACATTTTAGGAATTTCTTTTTTGTGACCTGATTGTGAATAATATGATGAATCATTTTATTAAATTTATTCGAAAATAAAGTTATTTTGCAGCATAACAAAGATTTTCGTAAACGTCATAAACGTAATGTTTTAGTTAATTTTCGGTGGTTTTTGTTAAGTTTCATTGAAGGGGTAAGTACAAAAATAATTAATGTGTTTTTTTTCTATAATTATTAACAATAAGCACTGATAAAAGATTAAATTTAACATTCCTATTTTTTTGAGTAGAAATATATTATGTCTATAAATTTATAAATGTAGAATGTGGATAACATAGGAGGTTGCAACACTGCGAGGTTTAGATACACCGTAGAGAAATCTCAGGTGAATAAACAAGTGGCACTAAAAAGTTTTTTCAAATTTCCCGGAAAATGTCAAGAAAAGTTTTAAATTTTCAACATTTTTTTTTCGCAAAAAAACCTCATAGGCGTGTTTCTGGGGTTGAACTATACTACCAGTTAAAATATTTGCACTCATTTCTGGGACACCTTGTATAGAAACATTGAACCAGCTAATTCGCATACACTCGCACTTAATATAGAAAAAGAACCAGCCATAATGAAGAAATAGAAAAAAAATAAATAACTCAAAAGCACCTGGTGTGGATAATATTACAGGCGAAATTATAAAGGCGATGGGAGAGCTAGGTACAGAGATCATCTGTGCTCTATTATATGGGAATCTGGTAGATGGCCGTTAGAATGGTGCGAATCACTGTTTATACCACTTTTCAAGAAAGGCTGCCCTACTGACTGCGCTAATTATAGAACGATAGCGCTTATTAATCACACTAGCAAAGTACTGCTACACATTATCAATAGCCGTCTAAAATACTTTATTCTAAAAGAAATATCCGAAGAGTAAACAGGTTTCATGCCCGGCAAAGGTAGTAAAGAGCACATATTAAACGTCCGACAAATTATCGAGAAAGAGTATGAGTTTAACATCCCGACTCGTCTGTGTTTCGTGGACTACAACAGAGCATTCGATTGTATTAAGTGGAACAAACTTTGGTCTGTACTAGAAAACATGGGAGTTCCTCAATACCTTATTCAGCTGATCCGAGGTCTGTACGAGAACAGCAGAGGAAAAGTAAGAGTAAATAACACCATTTCAGATGCATTTGACTTGGAGGCGGGAGTGCGCCAGGGATGCATTTTATCTCCCTTACTCTTCAATATATGTGGCGAATTTATGGAAGACTAGAACGGCGGTATCATTATAGGCGGTAAACAAATAACGAATTTAAGGTACGCAGATGATGAATTAAAATCCATTATGCACAAATTATAGAGGTGGTCAGCGAGAGATATGGGTTAAAACTAAATAAAAAAAAAGAATGATTATCGATCGAGAACACACAAATACAACAGAAATAGCAGGTTTCGAAGTTGTAGATCAATATATTATATATCTCGGCTCCTTGATATCAAACAAAGGAGGATGTGACGCAGAAATCAAGAGAACTGTGTATAACACGTAATTCCATGACTAAACTCAATTAAATATGGAAAGATTCAGCCATTTCAATTAGCAACAAACTCAGAGTACTAGAGTCTTAATTTTCCCCATTGCCACTTATGCCTCAGAGACCTGGACATTGAAGTTGGCAATGAAACGTAAAATCGATGCTTTTGAAATGTGGTGTTATAGACGGATGCTGCGAATACCGTACACAGCTCACCGTACAAACATTTCAATACTCGAACAACTGAATATCGAATCTAGACTGTCGATATCAATAAATCAATCATACTTAAGATACTTTGGTCACATATCCCGGAACACCAATGGCCTAGAAAAACTAATTGTGGAGAGAAAAGTGAACGGGGAACGTTCTAGAGGGAGATCTCCAAAACGTTGGGTGGACCAAATGAAGACGATAATAGGTCATAGTCTGCACGAGGCCAGTACTGCTGCGCAAGACAGAACAATATGGAGAGACACAATAAATGCGATATCATAATGTCACCATACTCTTATAGAGTAATAGGAAGGAGGAGGATGACTGTTTACGTTATTTCATTCGATCTCTTTGCCAGCGTGCGGACTATCTGACTGGCGGTAGTGGTCTCATTTAGGTTCTTGTAACTGCGTACCCAAGTAGCAAAATTACGTTGATCAACGTAATCACAACGTCGCCAGGAGCAACCCAACGTTGCCGGATAACGTCGAAGCGACGTCTAAGCGACCCATATTTGCACCAAAATGGTGGATGTTTTTAGGGTCGCTACAACGTCGCCAACGTTGGCGACGTTGTTTGAGGCGACGTAGTACGTCGTGTGCTAAAAGTTGTTTTTCATGCCGATTCGCGATATTTTGAGGTTAGAGTTAAAAATATTCGTTGTCAAATATTACTATATTCAACCATGGGGACACCAAAACATTGATTTCGATTAACTTGGTGATGGCTGATGATGTATGAATTAGAAATGGAATATATTATGCTCTATTATAACTAGGTGAATTTAACTTGGACAAATCTGCAAAGTTTTGAGATATCGGCAATCGAAATTCATCAACAAAGATTAGTTTACTGTTAAAAGTGACCATGATACTTCGAAATATGGCAAAACCCCTTTTTTATTTCCTAGTTTTAATTTTAAAATTATAGTTTACTTGGTTAACCTAACTTCTTTTTTTTTAATTTTAAGACAAATATACGAGATATATCAGGAAAATTAGCTTACAACCCTAACAGATACAGTTTTTTAACGAAATTCGCAGTATTTTGTGGTTTCTGATATTTTATTCGATTCGTCCACAACGCACGAACAGATAAATCGTATTAAAATGGCGGAGGACCAATATAGTGCATAAGGTGCGGTAACCGACCTTTGGGTCACCTATGACAACCTTTGGTTCAAAAATTGACACCTTCTTTGACGAAATAGGACCTCTGAACCCTACCGACATCTAGGAGGTAAATAAGAAAATTACTTCTTACAGTGCTCTTTTTTACCTAGGAACAATAAAATAAAGAAGAAAGCTGCAGTGGGATTCTGTAAGCTCCGTAGCAAGAAATTTCCTGTCTAGCCTATGCTATTTGTATACGATTGATGAGTCACTAGACAGGAAATATGTTTACAGAATCGCACCGCTGGGATTCTTTGGTGGTGGTGGTCACATACTCGTTAATAAGATCGCTGACATTAGATATTAGATCAGTATTTCTATTTATTTATTGTTAAAAAAGCCGTATAGGAAATATTGTTGATTTTACCACTCATTTGAAAATTAAAATCTAATATTCTCTTCAATTTATGCTGAAACTGAACTTCAGGTGACTGCTCTTCTGGAGGATCATTATTCTCACAGTATTCCTCTGTTGTATGGGCTTCAAGTGTACTGTTATTTATTTTTATAGTATCCATTCATGATCAGCTACCACTAGTAGCACTATTACTTTTCAAAATTGAAGTGGACGTTCGTTCGATACATGATTGCGAGGATATGGATGACGAACCTAAACTCGTTATTTCCACTTCATTTTTCGGACACTGACTTGCTCGCTGACTTTCTTCTAAATACTTTTTGCTTTTTTCTATAAAAAGTTGTAGAGTATTTATATACTTTTTTCCTATGCATCTTCTTTTCGCTTTACACAGTAAATACAACAGAAAAAATACCTATCCAATTGGCAATTGGTTCTGTGACAGTACTGTACAGATTTTTTTAAGGTTAGGTGTAGATAGTTCCGCTTCCACAACAAAAATCGACATCGTCGCGCTCGTCGCCTTAATCCAACGTAGTGATTGGTTATAATTTTGAAGTTGCTTTGGGTCGTTTAATGAAACGTCGCACAACGTTGTACTGCGTTTGTTATTCTGTAGTACAATAAACATGCCTTCTGGCGACGTAATGACAACGGTATAAAACCCAACTTCTAACAACGTTGTGGCCTACAACGTTTGCCAACGTTGTTAAGTGTCCAAAATATACAACTGTTTAAGTGCAACGTCGTAGCGACGTTTTGGCTACGTGTTTTGAGTAGGGAGAAGTACCAATTTCAACGTTGCGCGTAGTCAAAACTAGTCGGAAGTCGGAATTTTGTTACTTGGGTAGTACCTATACAGCTAATATTACACCTAACCTAGCACCTCCAGTAGCAGTAGTAAAAGTGTTATGTGTGCCATTTTTCTGCCAGAACTGCCAATATAGAAATTAATTTCACACTGTGTTCGTCATAATGGGGAACATCCTGCTATCACTACCGGTTTCGGCGCTCCACTCCATCATCGGGTGAGCTTGTATTGACTCCGCAAAATGACGATCACAGCGCAGAGTATCTAAATACGACATGTCGTGAAGTATAAGACCCTCATGGCGCGATAGTGGCCTGCGTGAAATGGTAGTAGGTACTTTCGTAAATATTTTTCCATTTTATATTTTTGTCTAGCCGAAAAAAAAATTATTTACTATTGATAGTTGTGCCTCGGTAGTACGAAAGTACACAGACCCTATCTGGGATATCTTATGACTTATTGATAGTTATATATCTGGAAGTTTTATTTAAGTTTTTTTTCCACAGTCCCAAAACACCTTTCAACATAAATTTAATCTAAATCTAGTATCTACTTTACTTAAATATTGCCACTACCCCTCCCAGACCAAATCTCTAGATGCGCCACTGCCGCAGATGAATCCCCTAGAACCTAGAAAGTATTCCTTTAAGGGTCATAAGAAAAGAAAAAATAAATAGAAGAAAAATAACCCATTGTGGAAATAATTTGCATAAATTTAATTAAAAACTTATATTCGATATTGACACAGGTCTCTAGGACATACAGGTCTCTATTGTATGCATTTTTAGTCAGTACCGGCTTTACTGGAGTGTCTGAGGGACGCTAAACCCCATACTTTAATCGCTATAAATATAAACTCACACTAAATAATTTACAATAGATACACTAAAATATTTGATAATATCAACTTAATTTTAAGTAACATGTTTGTCTGTCTAGAAAGTAAAACACCCTTTGCCACGATTGAAGAAAAATAGAGAAACACAGCGATAATATTAATTTTACCTTGAGCATTTACTGTCACTTGTTGAAGCGGGCTTTGAGTACCAACTAACGATTGTTGCTGTAATTGTTGCAACTGCTGCTGTTGTTCTTGTTGTTGCTGCTGTTGTTGTTGCTGTTGTACTTGCTGATTTTGCTGGATAGCTTGCGTATTGGCATCAACAATCTGTTGCTGTTGCTAGAATTAAAAAAAGTAGACATTATATATGTTCCATTGAATTCTACTGAGCTGATCGTATTTTTTGTAATTACCTGTTTGTTAATATCAGCCATGGTGCCTGACATACTAGCATCAACGCTTTGTTTAATAAATTCGTGTCCTCTGTCCAAATTCAGTAATGTATTTGCGACATCATATTTACAATCGTCAGCTGTAATATCATGAATGCCAGCCTTTTGGGCAAGAGTTTCCAAACACTGAAGAGACCGTGACCCTAAAATCAATAACATTCTATTGAAACTCCTCGTTTACAAAAACAACAGACAACTATTATAGGTATCAAAACTAAATTTCACTACATCTAATACTTTTGTTGTAAAAAAATCTTATAAATAATTTCAATGATTTTTTTTCTTTGAAAAACTGTAATTATTTCAACTAAGAAATAAATACCGGATGATTCAGTGGTACAAAAACTCATCAGGTTTATTGTTATTTATTATTTAATTAATTCTATTATTGATCTATTTTAAATGATTAATTATTTTATTTTTATATTATTTATTATTTATAATTTTATTATAATTTATTAATTTATAATTAATCTGTACTTAAATCGCCCTATTTCGAAACCACTCTTGTATACAGTATGTCCCCGGATTGTCTTTACAAGAGGAAAAACTTTTTCTTATTGACATTTTGAGAAAAATGCATTCTTCTTTTAAAAAATGCTTATTCTAAAATGGTTAATCCTGTTTATACTTTTCAAAATTTCCATATCGTTTTAGAGAAAATTAAACAAATCATGATAATATGGTTGAGTTTTTTCTTAAATACTAAAAATCAGTAATGTATTTGCGACATCATATTTACAATCGTCAGCTGTAATATCATGAATGCCAGCCTTTTGGGCAAGAGTTTCCAAACACTGAAGAGACCGTGACCCTAAAATCAATAACATTCTATTGAAACTCCTCGTTTACAAAAACAACAGACAACTATTATAGGTATCAAAACTAAATTTCACTACATCTAGTACTTTTTGTTGTAAAAAAAAATCTTATAAATAATTTCAATTATTTTTTTTTCTTTGAAAACTGTAATTATTTCAACTAAGAAATAAATACCGGATGATTCAGTGGTACAAAAACTCATCAGGTTTATTGTTATTTATTATTTAATTAATTCTATTATTGATCTATTTTAAATGATTAATTATTTTATTTTTTATATTATTTATTATTTATAATTTTATTATAATTTATTAATTTATAATTAATCTGTACTTAAATGGCCCTATTTCGAAACCACTCTGTATACAGTATGTCCCCGGATTGTCTTTACAAGAGGAAAAACTTTTTTCTTATTGACATTTTGAGAAAAATGCATTCTTCTTTAAAAAAATGCTTATTCTAAAATGGTTAATCCCCTTTATACTTTTCAAAATTTCCATATCGTTTTAGAGAAAATTAAACAAATCATGATAATATGGTTGAGTTTTTTCTAAATCCTAAAAATCAGTAATGTATTTGCGACATCATATTTACAATCGTCAGCTGTAATATCATGAATGCCAGCCTTTTGGGCAAGAGTTTCCAAACACTGAAGAGACCGTGACCCTAAAATCAATAACATTCTATTGAAACTCCTCGTTTACAAAAACAACAGACAACTATTATAGGTATCAAAACTAAATTTCACTACATCTAATACTTTTTGTTGTAAAAAAAATCTTATAAATAATTTCAATGATTTTTTTTTCTTTGAAAACTGTAATTATTTCAACTAAGAAATAAATACCGGGTGATTCAGTGGTTCAAAAACTCATCAGGTTTATTGTTATTTATTATTTAATTAATTCTATTATTGATCTATTTTAAATGATTAATTATTTTATTTTTTATATTATTTATTATTTATAATTTTATTATAATTTATTAATTTATAATTAATCTGTACTTAAATGGCCCTATTTCGAAACCACTCTGTATACAGTATGTCCCCGGATTGTCTTTACAAGAGGAAAAACTTTTTTCTTATTGACATTTTGAGAAAAATGCATTCTTCTTAAAAACAAATGCTTATTCTAAAATGGTTAATCCCGTTTATACTTTTCAAAATTTCCATATCGTTTTAGAGAAAATTAAACAAATCATGAAAATATGGTTGAGTTTTTTCTAAATCCTAAAAATCAAAAGGCGTTAAATAAGGATTCAACCATATACAGGGTATTTCAAAAAACATGTGCCATCTCTCGTGGGGAGATTCCTCACGTAAAAATAAGATTTATTTTTCATATCAACATAGGTCCAATTCTGTTTTTTTTTTGTAGCTACAGGGTACTAAAATCTTATAATTTTTCGATTCATTATAATTTTCTTCCAAGTACTTTTAATGATCCCAATAAAATTTTGAGGGCAAAATGTACTAAATGCGACATATTTTAAAGCTTAAAAGTCGTAAAAAATGTACTAAGTGTCGACATATTCACCAGGGACGTGCATATGGGTTATCACTGGAATATTTTTCAAAGAAAAAATGTGCGCCACTGACATTTTATCTTTTGATATCAAAATTGTATAGGGTCTTTAATACCAATTAAGTAAGTTATTCCTTGGTATTTTGTCGATTTCGGCCTCCTTGATGAGATAAAATTAAAAATTATTAAGATTTTAACACCCTGTAGCTACAAAACAAAGCAGAATCGGACCTATGTTGATATGAAAAATAAGTCATATTTTTACGTGAGGAATCTTTCCACGAGAGATGGCACAAGTTTTTTGAAACCCCTGTATATTATACATATTTTCATGTTTTTTTTAATTTCCTCTAAAAAGGTATAGAAATTTGAAAAAGTATAAACCGGATTAACCATTTTAGAACAAGCAAAATTTTTTTATGACGAATGAATTTTTTTCAAAATATCAATAATAAAATAGTTTTTCCTCTTGTAAAACCAATCCGGAGACAAAGGTACTGTATTATATTCAATTTGGGATATTTTAGTACTATCGTTTGTTACTCAGAAATATAATTTTTGGTTTAGTTAGTAGTATCCTTGTATATATATTTTTAAAGTAGATCAACCTAAGACGTTTATGGACTAAGACTACTAGATGGCAGGACCGGTTTCCCTACAGAAATATTTTTTTTGTTACTCTGAATTTTGAAGCTACCAATAAAAACAGAGAAAATAAAAATCGATAATTTTCGGACTATGCCAATTGGTTACTAATCGACCAGATACTTTTTCTCTATTAGATATGCTATAAAAGCTGGCAATTATACAATTCGACCATTGTAAATACCCGACAGATTCTTCAACGCCGACGAAGCCGATGTTTCTTACTGATAAGAAACAAAAATGTTTGTTTAGATAATTTTCGAGGTATTTTTTTTTTCTGAATGCACATTTTAAAGTATTTTATATTCTTTGTCCCCTTGACCTATTATCCTGGTCGCACGTATGGAAGTTCTGTTTCTTCTAGTTTTAGAAAATGTTCAATTTCTTTTTTCTTTGCAGTTGTAGTGTAAAATTAGATTAATTTATTAAGTTTAATTATAGTGTTTAGTGTAGCATGTTAGTGTAGTCTACCAAAAATAGTTTAGTAGTGTTTTTATAGTTTATTTTGTAGTTAAGTAGTAGGTGAAGGGATAATTTTGTTATTTTTTCTTTTTGTTTGATAACTTAGTAATCAAATTGATCATTTGTTCAGTGTAGAATACAAGAATAAGTAGTTGTGTAGTGTTTTTAAGAGATTATATTCGTTTATTTTGTAGTTGAGTAGTAGCTGAAGGGGTATTTGGGTATTTTTTCTTTTTGTTTTTCTTGTAATTGTAGTAGTTCTATTAAGTATTGTGATAGATACACTATATCTTCCTTCAACTTCGTTGAAAAGTGCGTTATCATATAATCTTGGTTTTCTGGTAGCAGAATATACGAAAAAAAATCTGATCAAATTTATTTGAAATTAAATTCATCTAGTCTTATTAATCAAATTAAACTAATCAAATAATAATAATAGTTTCAAAATACTATACAGGGTGAGTTTCCTAAGATGTTCTTTATGGGTATCTCGAAAACTACTGGAAATAGAGAATAGAGAGTCGGTTAATGGGGAAAGAATTGCAGTTTTGTGGGGTCATAAATATGCGCCTTTCGGATTTTTGAAAAAGTTTATCGCTTACTAGATATTTCGAAAAAAAAACAAATTTTGGCTATTTTAAAACTTGTCCCTAATTCCATTATAATATATTTTAGACAAAAAGTTTTCAGATACAAGTTGTAGATAATTACATACCTAATGAGTTTGTGTTTTCTGATTTTTTCTAAAGCCTGTAATTTTTGACCATAGTTGGCCATGACTTCATAAAAATCACCATTTTTAAGCTTTTCAGCGATATAGGTATATATGTTTTTATCGAAAAATTACAGTTAGATACAGAGTTATAGTTATAGCCAATTCTTTTCTTTCTTGGCTAATTTCACTTAGTTGGCATAGTATTCTTACTCTGTTATGATTTATAACATAAAAACACAGAATATATTATTAAACGGTTCTTTACGATTTACATTACGCAAACTAAAACTTCATAATATCACTACCCCATACACTTAAGTTATTTTAGAAAATGTTCTCCCGTACCGCCTCTTCGAGAGGGCCCATGCAATTGGTCCACCATCCACCTCTTCCGATCCCTGAGTTTGCATAATTGTGATATAAATAATTTTTAACATTTCTTTCATTATGGGGGGGGGGAAGTTTCATAATGAAAGTCATATTGGAACCACCCTATTGATGCGCGACTATCTAAATTTAACTTTTCTAACATGTCTTGAAAACCGTTCTCTTAAAAACGTAAATAACGTTCACGACGTTAGGAGGACGCAATCTCATTAAGGATGTGATTATCTACAACTTTTATCTGAAAACTTTTTGATTAAAATAGCCTATAATGGAATTAGGGACAATTTTTAAAATAGCCAAAGTTTTTTTTTTCGAAATATCTAGTAATCCATGAACTTTTTCAAAAATCTGAAAGGCGCATATTTATGACCACAAAACTGCAATTCTTTCCCCATTTAACCGACTCTCTATCTGCAGTAGTTTTCGAGAAACCCATAGGGAACGTCGTAGAAAACACCCTGTATATTGAAAATACTAAAGACCATAATATGAAACAGAATAAAAAATAAATTTTGCATTATCTAATTAAATTATTTTCCTGATACATTTTTTTAATGAAAATGTACTTGAATTATTTCAGTTAGACATGTATCCTGCTTTTAGAAAGTTTTATGGTTTAACGGGATTTGTGTGTGAGTTAAAATAATGAAATTTTTAGTTTTTATAATTCTTCACACATACAAACTTAAAGCAAACTTGATTTTAAAACTCTGGCCATATTTTACATTAATAAAGATTTAATTGGTGTAATAAAGATTTAGATGGTGTATTAAGTACAATATATTTATTTTAATGTCAAATAATATTGAAGCAAGTTGCAATTTTTTGAACATTTAATCAAGAATGTGAAAAGTTTTATGTTTTCAAAAAAAAATATCGTAAAATTCGTTAAACAATCAATTTAGAATAAAATAATCTAAGAATGAAAAGATTCTTTAATAAACCTGCATTAAATCAAATTAACATAGGTAGGTGTAACTTTTTTTGAATATTAATTATCAGCAATTAACATTATCGTAAATTATAAATAATGTACCAACATATCGAAATAATAATTTCTTTGTTATACGGTTTAGAATTCTTAAAATAACAGGCAAAAATAATCCACAATTTACAATAAAATAAAAGTTTCGTTTAAATTTATTAATCAGCTGATCACTATTAAAGTTCGCAGAAACCCGGGCTATATTATTACATTACTCTGAGGAAAATAACGAAAATAATCGATATTTCTGACTCCGCCCCGAAAGGTTCACGATTTGTCCTCCAGTTGGCAGCACATTTTGTCTAGTCGGTTGGGCAACTTTAAGAATATATAAACAAGGGTAGTATCAATTCGTGTAAATAGGTGTTATTTTCAAAATAATACAAAGTTCAAATAAGGTTTAAGTGTGAGTATCATTATAGGTAGACTTTGCTCGTTCTTTTAGTTTTTTTTAAATAATGCCATTAATTACCTATATTAATCATGTGTGTTATTTTAACTAGTGAAAACAATCAATATATCCGTATTAGTTTTATTTGCAACCACTTTAGGAATATACAGGGTGTTATAAATTCGAGGTACGAGCATTGGTATCTCGGTAACCGTAATAGATACGGACATGGTTAAATTGGGGCAAAGTTGCATATTGGGATGTTGATTTTTTGAAAATCAATTTTATTTTTTCCTGTCGTTACATTTTAGAAACTAATTGCCCATTCTCATAGTCACTTTATTAGGGCTATCTGACTGTATTTTTAGATTTTCAAATTAGCTCATAATTTGTGAGATACAGAGGCCGACTTATTTTTTTTAAAATACGGACCTGCATTTTTATTTCACGTTTTGAAAAAACTCGCTTTCCTGAATACAATGATATGGCCACACTTTATACTTTTTTTTGTTTTGGATACCTTAACAGCAACAAAACTATTTAATTAGTATTTAAAATAATTTCAAGTCCGACTTTGGTTTCTTAAATTCTTTAATCTGATTATATTTATTGCAACAATATTGATCAGCGCTAATTAACATTGAATAAGGAAGATCGAGCCAATTGGAAGATTCAAATAAATAATATCCAGGGCAGAAATTTAAAGATATTATTTTTAACTTTTTTTATTGTTTTATTTTTTTAGAAGGAGATACTAAAAAGCCAAATATTGGCTAAAAATTTCTTAAAAAATCATCGGCCCACTAGAACAAAATATATTAAAGTTATATAAATACATCAATATTTTAAGGTGCCGGTTTCTCGTGCCGGTGAGTGTAGTTTTGATTTCAGAACAGTTCTTGTATTTGAAATAATTTTTTTAAGAAAGGTCGAAAAAAATATATTTTTTATTTATTTATTAATATCTCTGAAACTATCGAAATATATTTAATCATATATCTAAGGATTATGTAAAGTGGTCTGAAAGGAAGTCAAAAATGCAATAAAATACTGGGTGATCCATAAAAAAATCATACCAATCCACTCACACTATTTTGGGCCACCCTGTAGAAATTAAAATAGTTTCCTGAAATACATCCAGTACATACTTTAGGCACGGCATATAAATCACACGGCAGGCTAACTCTCTTTGGCGGGAACGCTACGCGCATACCGTCGCGCACGCCGCCATTAGGGTTTCCATCAACAGAAAGTAACCAGTGTCGTAGTTTCTTTCATCGACTGCGCACACTTTCGGCTGATTCGAGTCAGTAGCGTACGGATTAATTTATTTTGTTTATTTCTTGAGTTATATTTTATAGTTGTTGTTTTATTTTTGTTTATTGTGTTATATATTTGGTTTTTCTAGTTTGTTTTCGTTTCTTGTGTTATATAATTTATTTTTGTTTTTCTGAACATTTTTAAATCGTTAATTTTTACGTGTTTTTAAAATGCCTGGGCGAAGTTGTGCAGCAAAAAACTGCCCGAGTAGAGGACTAAACTGCAATAAAAGTTTCTTTCTGTTTCCTAGAGATCCGATTAGGTATGTATATACATATGTGATTAATTATTTTAACATATTTTAGTTGTGAAAAAAAACAGTCGTATACATATTAGGACATTCAGCTAAATAGGAAGATCTAATTAAAAATCTTAACAAACTTTAATATTAGTAAGATTTAATGTTAAATATTTAGTAAAATAAAATTTAATGTTGTATCTAGAATCTAGACATTAAAAATTAAATTTAAAAATCATTATATTATTCATTTAAATATAATTATAAAAATAAATAAAATGAGTATATCGAAAATAAGTTAACAATACATTTTTAGGGCAAGAACATGGGCAATTGCAGCTAATGGAGAAGACTTGATTGAAGATATAAATAAGGCCCACAAGTACAGGTTGTGTTCTGTTCACTTTGAATTTAAAATGTTTACCAATTCACTTTCTAGCCGTATAAAATACAATGCGGTACCTACTTTGTTTCCTGCCATGAAAAAAATAGAAGTTTCTCAAAAAAAAATTGTGGATTTATTAATTTGTGAAATTTGAATATTAATAAAATTTGCTACGCCCATTGATGGGCATAATTTGTACGTAGCCTCTTTATATTGTTCAATAAATATTTTATTGGTATTTTTTTAATTCTTGTTTGTAACTCCTGGCATGTTTTTGTTAGTTGCATGTTTTTAATTTTAATTGTCTATTCTCTACAGTGAAATATTTAATTGATTTTTTCATTTTTACTTTTCGAGAAGTATGCGCGGTTAACGATTCATTTGTTTGGACAAAAGTATTGTAAATAAAATTCAGTTTCAGTCAATTACAGTATTTTTTTAATACGACCCTGTCGTATTTTCTGAGAAATTTTTTAATACGTTTTAATCCGGCCCTGACTAGGAAACCATAATGGCGCCGACAAGGTCAAATTTTATAGAAATTTTAAACAATGGAATCTGAGTAGAGTTGGCGTGCCGATTGTTTTATGTGCCGTGCTTTAGGTCTGCACTTAAATAAAATTCTCAAGTGTTTTTATTCTAGGAGTTGCCCGACGCACTATACTATTGCCGGACCCTGTATAAAGTGTGCTCAAAAAATGTCATTCTGTAACCTAATTAAAAGTTTAAAGTAATTTAAAGTTGCTTCGCCAATTACGTTCAATTCCTAACCTTGTTGGGAATGCTGGGATTAGGAGTTTCAACAGAGCACTTATTATTAGACACCTATTACATCACTAATTAATTCTAATCTGTAGCACACTTTTAATTAAAGAAAACTCACCTTGTTGATTAGTGTTATCGGTGTTTTGAGTAGACGATGGTTCTTGATTGTTCAGCTGATCTTCTTGGCCACTATTATTGGCTAATTTTTGCTGCTTGGGAGGTGTATTGGTGGTATCTTTTAAAGGCTGTTTTTGACTATCTGCCTGCTGAAGGTTGTCGTGTTGTGTGTTGAAGTGTTGTGATCTGGAATTAAGAACATATAGTTTATAACAATGTAAAACTTTAAATATAGCCCAGTCAATCTAGATAGAGGTTGAGGTGGAAAAAATTAGTAACCAACCAGTTTCAGCGGGAATGTATTGATAATGATCTCCTATTCAACCCCCCAAAAGTCCCATTCGGTTCTAGTGAGGGAAGTTTGAAAAAACGGTCGCCATCTTGCATTTTTTTGGTTTTTTTTCAAATATCTCCGTCTGTACAGTACGTCTGCTGGATCTGTGTCTGTGAAAGGAATGCGGACAATAAACATTTAAATAAACAGCAATATATTTTATTCGTCGACTTGACGAGTACGTCACCGCAAATCGCTCCGCCCACTCATTTTATTGGCTACTTGCAAATTTGTCGAATTTTTATTGATGGGACGCGTCGTCTAATTTTTTACGAAAAACATCGAGAGAATATCATTTCCCCTCTCACGGATACCTCGTAGCTACAGAACGGACAGACGTACTGTATAAGTTTTTTTCGAAAAAACTAAAGAAATGGTTTTTGTAGAGAATTAAATTTTAAATTTTTATCTCTTATCATTTTTTCTATAAAGTAAATATTAACGGAAATAGAGCTATATTTTAGGTTATCTATTACAGCTTTTCCTTTTCCTCCACTTTTATTAAAAGTAATTTTTATTTAAAGTGTATTTTCAATAAAGACAAATCAAGTATAAATTTAAGCATTAAAAAATAAAAAATTAGAATTGTTTAAAAAAATTATGTTGTAGTATAATACATACAATAAAATTTGCTATGACGTCGTCATGAGTGTCATTTTCGTCCTCAACTAAAAAAGAAAAGTTTCTGTAATTGATTTCATAACACTGATCACACTTTGAAAATCATTTTAGACTCTATTCTTCATCAGCATTTAGAATCTCTTTGTAAGTGCAAAAAATTAATTTTAGCTCATCAGCAGGCATCAAAACATCTATTGATTGGATAGATACGTTGGACCTATCCATCCATCAAAATCTGCAAAAGATTTAGCTAGTTACCAATCCATTCTTGAATCCAAAAACACAATGTATCACATTTGCAATAATTCCCTGCATCTTTACCGTTAGCTGAAAGCATGTTCTGAATAGATTGAGGGAAAGCATGTTCTGAGTAGATTGGGAGTTGAGCAGGGTCCTCAGTTGAAGGCTAAGTAGCTAAATTATAGATAGACTTAAGGACATGTCTTGATGCAACTCTATTATATAGAGTGTATCTCAGAGGATTAATACCTTTACATGGCTTGAGAAGTAATAAAAGACAAAATGGGACATTATGAAAAACACATATTATTTATAGGTACATGCCATATCGAGCTGTGGTACTACATCCGCCAAGTCAAGCACAGCCGTACCATCCTTTTCTCGGCGGTATTAGCGGCACTTTTGACCACCCTCTAACTTCGTTGTGTATAAAGCAAGAATATTTTTTTCACTACACATGAGGATATACCGGGTGCGTCTCAAAAGTGGCTCACCCCTATAACTTTTTTATTTTTTCAGATAAAACAACGAGATTTGGTATGTTAGTATGTGACATAAATTAGGGTTGATTTGACATATTCAATTGTTTTTGGTCACTTCCGATTTCATCGGAAATGGCTACAACTTTTGATTTTTAAATGGCACTCTCGGTATTTTTTTACTTTGTTCGATAGAAAATGACACTCTGAATAGAATGACATATCATATGTCAACTTTTGACATTTTCGAATATGGTTTATTTCAAATTATAACATGCGGTTCATAAAGAAAATTTAATTCGAAATGCCAAGTGTGTGGTTACAAATTATTCGTAAAAAAAAGCTTTTTCCAAATATGCTAATGAGCCACCCTCGTTCCATTTAAAAAAATTGAGATATGATAAAAAATACGATTTGGGCATCTTTTAACCGGCCAGGATAAGATACTAAAAACATTAAACGATCAAATCTATTTTTCCAAGGCTCCTTCATTAAAAATTAGTGTTTTTAACACAGCCATGGCACTCTAGATTGAAATTTAAAATATAATTTGTTTTTGAGCGAATATGTCAAAAGTTGACATGTGACATACCATTCGATTCAGAGTGTCATTTTCTATAGAATAAAGTAAAAAAATACCGCGGGTGCCATTTAAAAATCAAAAGTTGTAGTCATTTCCGGTGAAACAGGAAGTGACCGAAAACAATTAAATACGCCAATCAATCATAATTAATGTCATATATATACTAACATACCAAATCTCGTTTTCTTATCTGAAAAAATAAAAAAGTTATAGGGGGTGAGCCACTTTTGAGACGCACCCGGTATACTTTAGTTGACTAGATTACCAAAATATCTAGTAATTATACCTCATAGTTTATGAATTATCGCTTGTAAAATTTCTTTAATTTCGACATTGACTCACTGACACATCATCAAAATTCTAAGGTACTTCTAGATTCTAGATGTGTCTTCTTCAAATTTTGAATTTTAGGTAGTTTTAAGCTTATAACCAAAGAAAAAACAGGAAAAATCTCGAAATATCTTTATGGATTAAAAGCTAGGTGTCTAGCCGCTACCGTTAACTGACTTTCTAGTCGAGAAAAATGTAGAAAACTAGAATTAATCGAAGCGGTCTTTTCTTCTGATTTTATTTGTATATGAATGTAACAACAATAACTCAAGGATTATGAATTAGTGCCAATCAAACTTCTGTGACTTTGACAGTGACTCATTAAATTCTATGTTTTTGATGGGATCCTTTTTATTTAAAATAAAAAATATGTGCCTATTGCCTATCGATACTGAAAAAAGATAACACTCTCTGTCGAACCCTTGACGAATCTTTAGAAAATAATGCTGCCGAAGACATGTTTCGGTCAGAATGAAATTGTATTTTAAAACTGTAACAAGCCATAAAAAGTATTAATCATTTGAGATACACTCTATATAATGCAAGAATTGCCAAGATCAACCATTAAAGTCTATCTTGCGCAACTATATCTACTCACGACATACTTTCAGTTAACGGTAAAGATACAATGAAATAATGGAAATGTGATAAGTTGTGCTTTTTAGATCCATGAATGGACTGGTAACAAGTTAGATCCTTTGCAGTATGGGTGGAAGGTCCAAAAGATCTATCCAATCAACAGATGTTGCACCTGCTGACCAACTAAAAGTATTTTTTGCACTGCAAAGAGATTCTGCATGTGCTCTAAATGGTGTTGAAGAAAACTCAAAGGGTCTCAAATGTTCTTCGAAGTGTGGTCAGTTGCAGAAATTTATGTTTTTTAGTTGAGAACGAAAATGACGCTCATGATGACAGATACATTTATTGTATGTATAAGAACATGTTTTTTAAATAACCCCCATTTTTTATTTTTTATACCTAAATTGATAAATTTATACTTGGTTTGTCTTGATTAACAATATACTCTTAATGTAAATATCTATTATAGTTGATTATAAAAGGTAGAAAATCTCTAATAAACAATTTAAAACATAGCTCTATCTTCATTAATATTTACTTTAGAGGAAAGGATAAAATTTAGGATAAAATGTTTCAAATTTAATTCTCTACAAAAACCGCCTCTTTAGTTTTTTTCTAAAAAACTTATACAAACGGAGATATTAAATAAAAATCCAAGACGGCGGCCGTTTTTTCAAACTTCTCGCACTGGGACCGAATTGGATTTTTGAGGGGTTAAATAGGAGATCATTATCTACACATTCCCGCTGATATTAGTTGGTTACTAATTTTTTCCACACCTTTACATATACTACTCGGCTACGATGACTGTACTAATATCACATATTTGATAATTTATATGTAGAAACCTTTATCCTTTCGTGTTTTACATACATTATGTACCTACCGGATGGCCAACTAAGAATGGACGCCGGCTGTATCTCAGAAACTACTTATCTTATAACTTTGGGAAAAAAAACTCTAATAAGTAAATCGACTAAGAGAAATCGCTGGAAATTATTTTCAAGTTCGAAAAATGCCCGCTAGGGGGCGTTTCTCTGATATCCAATTAGAAAACAGGGTTTTTCTCAAAAATATGCAGATGAACAGGTATTTTAAATATTACTATTGTAATTATCGATAAATTTGTAATTTTTTCGATAGTATTTTGCTTTATCTCATAAAATAAAGTGGTGGGGGAAGGTTAAACTGGCTTTTATTAAAATAAGGATAATTCTGGTTTAGGTTAGCCGATTTAAACAAACTAGGGCTAGTTTAAATGAGCTTTTCTTCTCTAATGATTTTTTTTCGTGGTAGCGGTGGTAGCTAGAGGGCGCTGTTTGACGCTGTCTGAAAAATTAAATAGGAGGCTATATTTTTCTTTACACAGTTAAATAGAGCACAAAGTTTCCAAAATATTAGCGCACATTGCAACTTTCTATCTTCTCTCTAACGGGAGATATTATGAAAATAAATCATATTAGGCTGTCGCCTAGTATTATAAGGTGTAAATATTATAGTAGTAGGCTAGGAAACAAAAAGAGGTAAACTGGTTACATCAAAATATCAAAACATATATTTTAATTTCATTTTAATACCATTTAATTGTTATTTATCCATGTTCGTTCTTGATTCGATCCCATAAATTAAAACCCAGGCAAATTGAATCCGATGACCTAGCTGGGCATGGAAATATGCCACTCCAGCGTCTCTATCTCTATAAGTGGTATCCAAGAAGCCCCACACATTCATAGCAAAATAAGCGGCACAACTACACCAACTACGAGTACATTCATGCTGATGAAATTGCAACAAATGCAATTTCATCATAATGGATCCCCTAACAAGTTGGCAATTTATCTCTTAAAAATTATGTATAGTTCATTTCATTCAGATAATTAAAAAAGTCCAATCATTCGCCATTCTAGAATTCCTGCCTAAACATTTACCTTGGTGGTGAACTACTTGCATCAAGGGTAGATTTGGACCAGTAGTGCATATTAAGATTCGCACCTGTGTTATATGAAAAGTGACCCAAACGACATAAACTTAATAATATAATAATAAATAACACAAACAACAGATAAAACACGAAAACAAGTGAAATCAAGGACGAACTAGGATTAATAACTAAATGACGGTACATGAAATAGACCCCTAGTTTTCGGTTATACGAAATTCGGCCGTTTTCCGTTAAAAACAATATGGCAGCAGAAAATTTCTAGAAATAAAATTACTGATTGTCCGACATTCGGGCATTTTAATCTGAGAACTACCTACGTATAATTAGGTAACCAAGAAATTCCTGAAAATTATATGGATGGACCAATGACTAAAGAATAGAAGGACATGTAACGCCCCTATACGGGCTGCAGCAGAATTTGTGACTTTTTTTTTTGTTTTGGTGGCAAACAATGAGTCATCATTTGGTCACCAGCGACAATTTTAGCGATTTTTAATAGTTTGTGTGTAGTAAACTTTGTATAAACTTTATTACAATGGTGATTAGTTGTTCAGCTTTCAAGTGTAAAAGCAGCAACGATAAGAAAGAGCCAGGAGTTACGTTTCATAGGTAAATAAACAGTCCACTCCAACTTTTTAGCGTTTTCTTATTGAATTCGATAATTATTCTTCAATTTCAATTAACATCTATATATACTTGATATGTGCTATACGTCGATACTAGTTTTGTACCTTTTGTTAACATTTTAATACGTTTTTTTCGTAATTAATTAGGATGATACACCATAGGCGTAGTCAAAACAATTATCAAAAAATATAAATATTGCTTCAAACAGCTAGGTTAAGAAAAATATGTGCCACGGCACTGTTTGGTGTCATCGTCAGAATTTGCTCTCGGGTGTTATTTGTCCTTGGATTCTTTAGTCATTGGGATGGACGATGTTACATAAACACGTTTAAAAATTTATGATGTCATTTTTTTTTGAAACGCCCGAAATTCGGATGCATGAAAACTGAACTTAAACGTTTTGATATTTTGACGTATAATACTACTATAATTTTTAGATCTTATAATACTATAGGCGACAGCCTAATATGATTTATTTTCTTAATATCTCTCGTTAGAGAGAAGATAGAAAGTTGTGGTTTAGCGATAGTATATTCCAAAATACATTATTAGTATGTTAAGTATATTTTGTGCTCCATTTAACGGTGGAAAGAAAAATATAGCCTCCTATTTAAATTTTTTATGCAAAAGCGCAATACTCCGTTATGAAGTCAAACAGCGCCCTCTAGCTACCACAAAAAAAATGATGGAAGCAAAATTTATACTGGAGATCATTAAGGAAGAAAAGCTCTTTTAAACGAGCCCTATCAGCCCGAGTTTGTTTAAATCGGCTAACCCAAACCAGAGTTATCCTTATTTTAATAAAAGCAAGTTTAACCTTCCCCCACCACTTTATTTTATGAGATAGAGCAATATTCTCTATATCTAAAAAAATACAAAGTTCTCGATGATTACAATAGTAATATTTAAAATACCTGTTCACCTGCATATTTTTGAGAAAACCCCTATTTTATGATTGGCTATCATAGAAACGCCCCCTAGGGGACATTTTTCAAATTTGAAAATAATTTTCAGCGATTTCTCTTGGTCGATTTACTTATTAGAATTTTTTTTCCGAAGTTATAGGATAAGTAGTTTCTGAGATACAGCCGGCGTCCATTCTTAGTTGGCCACCCGGTACATTTAACAGTTATTTCCAACTAGTATATTTAATGGTCTATTTATTAATAGGCATAGTGTAAATATCTGGACCGAGGGGTGTCTCACTATTGGAATTACATGTACATTTTCTTGGCAGTCGCTGGCAGTCATTGGCAGTCTTATGGCAGTCGCCTATAATAATTACATGGAAGTCATAGGCAGTCTTCTTCATAGTCATTGGCAGTCGCTTAGCAGTGGAAGGATATTTTGGCAGTACGTGTACATTTTTTACCCGAGTGAGACACCCCTCGATCTGGACACAGGGTGGAAATGAATAAGTATTGAGGCGATTGCTTGTTAAAAAATAAATTTTTCGTGTCGCTTCCCTGATCATCCGGGGACACGGCAGTCCCCCCAGTCGGCAGTCAGCCAAGTCGAGCACAGCCGTACCATCCTTTACTCGAAGGTATTAGCGGCACTTTTAACTACCCTGTAACTTCGTAGTGGATAAAGCAAGAATAATTTTAACTAAACATGAGAATGAGGATATACTCTACTATAGCTGGCTATTTTGCCAAAATATCTAGTAATTATATCTCGTAGTTTATGAATTATCGCATATTTCGTTAATTTGGTCACTGACACATCATCAAGAGTTTAAGATACTCGTAGAAGTGTCACAAAGTTCAAATTTTGAATTTTAGATAGCATTAAGCTTATAATGGAAGGAAAAAATTAAAATCTCGAAACATCCTTATGGATTAAAAGTTGGCTCTCTAACCGCTGCCGGTAACTGACTTTTCGGCGATGGGAATGGGAGAACTGGTGATAGGATTATTTGAATATTTGGATTTCTATATAAAGGCACCTGCTCTATCTATCTAAAATATTATCAGCGTTACTATTACCAAATCATCTGAAAAATGGTAGCATCTTTGTTATTTTAAATGGAACGCCCAGTTTATTATTATATTTTTCGGAAATTACTTTCATATCTCCTAATTTTTCTATTATACTTGTCTCTTAAAGTTTTCGACATAAAAAAAAGAATATGTGTAAAATTATATATTTTATTCTTATATCTATAGAAGTATCTATAGAACCATAACCAACATGAGATACAGGCCAGAGACATCGATTTGTGACGTCACCGCAATAGTCGGGCTTTTGAATTGTGCCATATGGTACTGCATATAGTTTTTGCGTAAATAATAGTATTTATTGATAGTTTTGCCAGATATAAATATGAAAAATATTATACACAAAGGTATTAAAAAATAACATTAACTTTTTATCGCGTTAAAACACGAATATTAATATGAAATAAACAACAGCATAAGATGAACAGAATAAAATCCAGATAATAAAAAGCATGTCTTAAAATTGCGTTAGCGAGTATTTAGCAGCTAGTAATAATATACCTTGTGATAAAGTTTCCAAATATGAAAAAAATTGAAAACTATACTTTATCGACAGGTTAAGAAAATGTATTGTATATGATAAGGGCAGAATACATTTTAAAGTTTAATTAAAAATAATTGTAAAAATTTGCCTAACATATTTAAAAAATGTGGATATCAGGTAGAATTAACTATTATCATTAAGTAATTTGTAGTTCGATGTTCAAGTAACCATTTCCATAAATCGTAAATAAAAAGATAAAGATATTTTTTATATGAAATACTGAAATAAAGTACAATTCATTTAATTTCTTTAAAATATATTGCCATTTCATAATAATAATAATAATTTTCAATATTTATTTCATCCTGAATTTCCAAATCTTGTTTTCTTTCATCGGGCTGTTTTCTCTTTATGGGAACATGCACAGTCATATAAGAGGGTTGATTTCGAAAAATTGTAGGCACTGCATACAGCATCTTCTGTAGGTTTTGGACGTGACTTAGTTACAGTTAATATTGTTGGAAAAGAGAATGTAGGCAGATCCTGAGTACTTATTATAATTGCTGCTACAAGGCACAGGCACAGAACAATGTCGCGGCATTTTTTATTTCACAAAGTAAAAATATAGAAACGACAACTGTTTTACCTAAAAATACACGTCAGTTACGTCATAGATAAATGAAACCAGTTTAGATTGGAAAGTGCCCATAAGGACAATGTAAACATTATTTGGCGCTATTCTTGCAACGGTCGCGACCCAAAACTTTTGAAAATTTCGGAGTGGTTCGGCTTTTTCCGGAATTATATCGCCAAATATTGTTTATTCAAATTTATTATTATTTTCGTTTAATTTTATAAATAAAATACAGTATGTTGCATACAAGAAACTTTATTTTATATAAGGACGCATGTATGAAATACCTATGAAACATTGGAAACCGACGTTATGCCACGATCCACGATGGTTTTTGCAGTTCACAGTTCACAGCACAGCTTTTTAAGTTTTTAATGCCACTTTTTCACAATTATCACCAGTTGGAGTAAATAAAACTTGAATTGAACTCACAAGATAACAATAATTACTTTGAAAATGGACGCTATAAACACTTTTCGGAATTAATTTAATGAGAGCGGTTTAGATTTTGAAAGATTATTATGATTTTTGAAGATTCTGACTTTGACAAGAGAAAATTATTTCTGTTTTTGTTTGCCGTTGTTCTTAGCGACCGCTATAGCAGCGCCAGATCGCGTATAACGGTCGCGACCCAAAATAATTTCGCGACCCAAAATTTTTACGGACTTTCCAATCTAAACTTGTTGCATTTATCTATGAGTTACGTTTGGTTAACGTCAGTTACGTTTTTTATATAAATTCCCCAACTTTTTCCTAGTCCGGACACACAGCCGGCATCGCCGGTGTTACTATAATTTTTACCGAAAGTATGTTTTTTTTCGAGGGTACGATGTTATGAATCGGATCTAGATAGTTCACTATTCACTCAAAATTATTTAGTATAATTTTATTAGCATAGAAACGCTTAAAAAACACAGATTTGTTGCGAAACTAATGAAAACAATTGGTTTGTTTACGACTACTAATTCTCGACCACTTCGGTAGAACTGTCAAAACAGTCAGGCCTTGAATATGACGTTAGCCACGATAGAACTTATTTAATCTGTAACATAGTGTGATATTTGCAGTAGGTTAAATGGTTTCTGTAGCTTGTTAGCCATATGGATAAAACATTCTATAAATATTGAAAATGCACATGCAAAATTATATGTTATGGAAATATAAACGTACTTTACACAACACCGAGTCTGCTTTTTCAACTGCCTTTCCTTTAACTTCTGATATTCTCTAATCGTCTTCACATCGATTGGTTTTTTGTACCTTACTCTGAACAGACCTTTGGGTGGTTCCCGACGCATCGTCATGATTCAAACGATCGTTCACATTTGTACCCACTTTAACTTTAGTTATTTGCTTTACAGTTCTTTGTTTTTCTTTTAATGTTCACATAAACTAGACACTCACAACACTGTCATCAGACTACCTATGTACCCAGTCAAGGTTTTTTATTAACTTCATTTTTTTTTAATGCAATATAACCAGTAAAAATAGTAAGCATAGTAGGTATAAATATTTCTTTATAAAGGTTTTTATTAATGTTCAAAAAACGATATTTTTGATTTCGGTTTTCTATAAACTATACAGGGTAAGTCAACGATAGAATAAAGTTTATTATCTATCTAGTTTGTTTACAGTATTACAAAAAAAATTAAATAGAAAAATTTTAAGAAATGTTTAAAAATTATTTTTGAGTATACAGAGCGCTTTAAAAAAAATGTTGCGGATATAACGTTTTTAAAATATGGTCCCTCTTTTATATTAGATTTTGATTCTGCGGAAAATAAAATATCTAACTTTTTAATATAATTTTATACACCTACTTAAAACTAGTAATTTTCATAATAGGTACATATTTCAATATTTTTAATAAAATATTAGATTTCAGTATAGTAAAAAGTTGTTAATGGCGGTATTGTTTCAGATTTAGATCTATTTTTTATACATACCTACTACTTGGCCTCTTTCTGCCAAGAGCAATTTTTTTTTAAATTTTGATTAATTTTTTTAGGAAAATTCATTACTTAACCTTTGCTCTAAATCTACTATAGATCCTTACTAAAACTAAGTTTTGTTTTTAACTTGTGTAACTGGCATGACAATGTTAGAGCATTACCACTTTTTGTTATGACAAGTAGTATGTTATAGCAAAGTTCCTTTAAAATATGAGTAAATACATACAGTACGTCTGTCCGTTCTGTAGCCACGGGGTATCCGTGAGAGGGGAAACGATATTCTCTCCATGTTTTTCGTAAAAAATTAGACGACGCGTCCCATCAATAAAAATTCGACAAATTTGCAAGTAGCCAATAAAATGAGTGGGCGGAGCGATTTGCGGTGACGTACTCGTCAAGTCGACGTATAAAATATATTGCTGTTTATTTAAATGTTTTTTGTCCGCATTCCTTTCATAGACACAGATCCAGCAGACGAACTGTACTTATACGAGATAGTATAAACTTTTGGTTAAACAGATCAGAAAGAATAATAATATATAAGGTAAACCGTTTACAAACCTGCATGACATTGATAAAATAAAAAATAGGGTACCTATTACCTATTACATTTAAAACACATATGTTATATCCGCCATACCTACTTTTTTGTCGCACCTTGTAAATTCAAAAATAATTTTAAATTGTGTATTTTAACATACCCTAAAACATTTTTATTTAACAATTTTTCATAATTTTCAAACTCAATGAAACAACGAACTTTATCGTTGACTTACCCTGTATACACGTTTTCTAAAATGCAATTCACAAAATGATGTTGAAGAAATACGAGTAACCTCAAACGCACGAGAAACTATTCGAAATATGGTAGGCAAGACGTTTACGGCTACCTCGAGAACCTTAAACTAAAAGCATAATATGGAACCTAAAATTTCGGAGGGTCTTCTCCGAAATAATGAACCATAAATATTGACCTGACATTTGGTAGAAAGATGGTCGACAATCTATGAAGCTTTTGTTCGACCCGAAAAGCGGTGGTCGGTATGGGAGGGTGGAATGCGAAGGTCGGCTATTTCTATTTCACAGTTAGCTGAAGCAGTAACAACCTTTCTTTCCATAAAGAATATTTTAAAACTTCAAAAATTTATATTAAAGCTTCATTCAGACCCTCGCAATTAGTGGTTTCATTACACTTTAAGCTTCATTCAGAACCTTGCAATCAGTGCAATAAATTAGTTGTTTTAATTAGTATACTTTATACAATTTATTTTATACTTTTTAGTATAAAGAGTAATAATACGTGACGATCGTGTATGGACCCTATATTCACTCTGGTCCATATAAATGAAAAAAAAGTGGCAACCAATAGAGAGGTACATCTGCTCTTTGTCGACCTCACAAAAGCGTATGACACCGTTCCGTTCCAAAAGCTCTAGAAAGTTCTTGAAAAATCCTCTATAAACAACACAGCGATAGAAGCAGTTAAACAGCTATATAATGAGGCAACATCAAGAATAAAACTTTGTACCGCGCTATCTATAGGTTTTCCTGGGGACAAGGGTGCTACCTATCCCCGATGTTATTTAAGATCTATCTGAATGAAGCCCTAAAAAATGGAGAAGATCGTGCAGAGGAATGGGAATACCACTTAACGACGAAACAACTCTATACAACCTTCATTTCGCAGATGATCAGTGGTAGTGGCTCAAGAGAAGGAAGACCTACAATTTATGACAACAAGACTTTTAAACGAGTATGAAAAGTGGGGGTTGTCGGTAAATACGTCGAAGACGAAGTACTTGTGTATAGGCCAAGCAGCAGAAACTTTACATCTGGATAGGGTCATGCAGTAAATACACCTATCTTGGAACTCAGATAGATTATACCGGGCGTCCACAATACTGAAAGGTAAAAAAGTCATCGGGTGCCTAAATTCAGTATTATGGTCCAAACACATCTCATATGAGAAAAAACATACTATTTATAATTCCATCTTTAAAAATATAGTTTTATATGGATATGAAACATGACAGCTCACTAATAGAATGGAACAAAGACTATTAGCACTCGAGATGGACTTCTGGCGAAGATCTGCGGGAGTATCAAGAATGGAAAGAATACTGAATAAAAAGATAAGGGAAAGTATGCATATCCAGCACACCATAAGATGAAATAGAGACAAGACAGCTGGTATGGTATGGGCGCGTGTAGAAAGAATGAGTGAGGACCGAATACCGAAGAAAGTCTTGAAATGAATACCATCAGAAAGGAGAAAAAAGGGAAGGCCAAAAGCAAAGTGGATCGGAGGAATACATAAAGCTATGTCGGAGAGAAACCTTCATCCAGGGGATTGGGAGAATATGAAAGACTGGCAACTGGGTACCGGAAGACGTAGGACGCTATCAACCCGGTTTAATATATATTGTATATATACTTTTTAGTTTACGATCATTCACAATGTCTCAAAACACAATTAACATTAATAGAATATAAATAAATAAATAACACGAATTTTGACGTTCTGAGTGCTGACATTGAAATTAAAGGAACAAACTTCACCGCTAATTAAAACCACTAATTTATTGCACTAATTTCGAAATGTCTAAAAAACACAATTAAAATTAATAGAATATCCTAGCCCTAGAGCTGCAACAAGTCAGTTTTAAAAAGACTTAAGTCTTAAGTCATTTCCAAAATCAAAATAATTTAAGCCTGAAGTCAATTTCAATATAAAGTTCAAATGACTTAAGTTTTAAGTCTTTGACTTAAGTCATTTTCTTTCATGCGTCATTTTTGTAAAGACTTAAATCAATATAACCTTATTTAAGTCTTTTTTTACTTAAATCATGATAATCTGCAAGTTAAGTCAGTAAAATTACTTAAATCAATATAATTTCCCTCAAGTCAACCAGAATTCAATTTAAATACCTATTTTTTAAATAATAATATAAATTTTTACCCATGTCAACCATGTATCAATTTTTTTTTATTATCTCTATTAATTTATTGTAGATACAGATTAGAATAAAATATTTCAAAATACAAAATATACTTAGATCCATTTTATCACAAACTAAACCAATGAATACAGAACACCAAACAAAAAATTGGTGAAACATCTAGACCCTTAAATGTTAGAATTAAAGAACATAAAAATTATTTAAGAAAGGGAGATTTTCACAAATCTAAGATTTGTCGGCATTCATGGGACACAGGGCACAGAATAAATTTTAATAACGCCAAAATTATAATCAAAGAAGCGATAGCCTCAAAAAGAAAAATAAAAGAGGCTTTTTTAATTCAATCTAATAAAAATAAATGTATTGCCAAAGTATTGCTCATGCATCTGTAGATGTTAGTAATGTATGGCAATCGCTTCTTTGATTTTAAAGAACATAACCTAAATAAACATAACATACGTAAAATTTAAAAATTATCATACAGAAAGTTTGGGGCTTTTTGGTTTTACCTTATTAAGTAATTGTTATCAGGTAGTAATTGTTAATTTTGAAGTTTAACTTGATATAATGTAATTTTAACAGAACGTCAACGGTTTCTTGTAGACGTATCTGTTTTAAAAAAGTAAAGTGTTCTCGAATAGTTGAATTTAAATATTTTAAATAGTTTTTTTCTTTATTCTTTGTATTTTTTTTGCTTCCGACGACGGAAAGAGATAAACTTTCCGAAACGTTAAGCATTTTTTTCTTTGTTAGGCAAATTTGTATAACTGTAAACATAACTTTTGACAAGCAGTATTTTCTTGCAGTGCAGTCGCTGTTACCCTTTCGGAGTTACGGGGTGTTTTTCAAAAATGTGCATTTTTAACAAATCGCTGTAACTGTTTTACTATGGAAAATTTTGTATTTCTATGAAAACATTTCCAAAGCACCTTTTTACGTAGAATTTAATGGTTTAAGTATAATTTTTTTAAAATTAATAATTTAAGAGTTATCAACAGCAAAATTGATTTTTTATTTGGGACACCTTCTATATCTTCAATTAGCTGAAAAGAATTTAAAATTACCTTTCCAAAAATATAGCACACTTAATATTTTGTTATGATCCCCTTCGAAATACAGAATTTTTAAAAGTTCGCCACTTTTAACTAGTAGGCTTTGGACCCCTTATTGATAATATGCCCTTAACGGATCTCGAAAACATATTTTTCCAGCAAGACGACACACCGCCTCTGAACTCTGAAGTTATCAGCAAATTTTTGCAGCTAATTTCAAGAATAATCGGATAGCTAACCAAGATCCTAGCCGTTGGCCGCCTAACCTAACCTGACTTAGTGCCCATGGATCTAATCCTATGGATATATTTGCGGAAGAATAAAGGTTCCTTATTCTTCTGTATAATCTAGACAAGAATTAAAAATATTTAGCAGTTATGAGAGGGTATCTTTCACCCCCACTGAGTTAATGCATTTCGCGAGAAATGTTCAAAAAC